ACTATCTTTTGTCCATTTGTACTATTTTTTTGTTCATTTTAAATATTTTTTTGTTCATTTCAACTATTTTTTGTTCATTTCAACTATTTTTTTTGTTCATTTCAACTATTTTTTTTGTTCATTTCAACTATTTTTTTGCCCATTTGAACTATTTTTATGTTCATTTCAACTATTTTTATGTCCATTTGAACTATTGTTTTGTTCAAATTAACTATTTTTATGTCCATTTGAACTATTTTTATGTTCATTTGAACTATTTTTTTGTTTATTTCATATGTAATATTAATAGTTCAAATAAACAATAATTCAAATGAACTGAAAATAGTTTAATGGAGCATTGAATTTTCGTTTTATTTTTATTTATTTAGAGAGAAACTGAAGACTCGTAGGGCCATTGAAAGGAGCTATTTAAAAACAAAGAAAATGATACTACAAAGCAGAATTTTATTAGAAAGTACAAGAAAACTTTTTCTTTCCTTTCCTTTTGTCTCTTCTTTCACTTTTTTCTATAATCCCTTTAATTCTCTTTCTTTCTTTCTTTTTATTTCTCAATCCATTTTTTTCTTTCATTTTTATTTTTCTTTATTTTTTTCTCTTTCATGCTTTAAATTTCCTATTTTCTATTTCTTTTTTCTCTTTCCTTCTTTTCTTTCCCTCTGTCTCTTCTTTCTCTTTTTTCTCTATATTTCCTTTAATTCTCATTCTTTTTTTCTTTTTATTTCTATATTCATTTTTTTTCTTTCATTTTTATTCTTCTTTATTATTATTTCTATCTTTTATTTCTTTTTTTCTCTTTCACGCTTTAAATTTCCTATTTTCTCTTTCTTTAAGTTTCTCTTTCTTTCCTTTTTCTCTTTCTTTCTTTCTTTAGCTTTACTTTCTCTATCGATATTTTGTCTTTCTTTTTTCTCCTTTTTTATTTTTATTTTTATCTTTCTATTTCTTTCTCTTTCTGTCTTCAAATTTCATATTTTCTTTATTAGTTCCGGGTTCAAGTGAAGTAGAAGAAGTGGTTGAAACAAGTCCAGATAATGCTGAAATTCTGATTCCTGATTATAATATGGATATGGATATTGATCCCCTTCCCCCCACCCTTCAGCAAAATTTAGAGGCTAACCTTTTAATTAGGAATAGAGATGACATTTTTTATTACCATCAATAACAATATTTCCAACTTTTTTACAAATGCATTTTTAATTAATTAGTCTTAGACATAAAACGTCATTGGAACTACAAGGCATGATACCCCTGTGGAGGATCCGACATTAGAAGCAGTAAGGTGTTGAAACATTAAATTTTATTGTTAAACCATTGATGAAGAAAACTTTTCATGAGTTATGATGTTATGATAGTTATTATTAAGGAATAAAATCATTGGAATCACGAGTTATGGGAGATCGTGGTCTGCAACAAGTATAGATCAGCTCTTGGAGGTTGTTCGTCTTTTCACTCCCCACTTCCCTCTATCAGCGAAAAGGTTAAAAAAAAAATGTTTAATTATTATTTTTGTTAATTTGATTATTTTTCCAGATTCTTCTCCACCCCACGCTCCAAATGCGCGATTACGATAGAGGGGCAAACTGAAGTATTTAGATTTGATATCCTAGAAATGATTCAAAGAAATTTTCTTAGGTACCTTACTTTATTTTGGGTATTATTATCCCGTCCATTTCCCCCAATTTTCTGAACTCATAATGAAAACTCTTATTAATTACTAACTGAAAAGCCCGGGGTTGCCTATAGAAAAATAATTTGAATAACAAAAATTTGAGAAAAAAAATAAATTTTCTAGCCTATATCATCCCCATGATTCATTGATTGTACACAAACCATTTAAGACCATTCGGTCCAGCCGTTTGACCGGCCAGAGGAAACATATATATGAATGTGTAAAGATTTGAAAGCTATGTACGTATTTACTTATAGATATCCCCTGGAGATTAGGGATACAGTAACAGAAGTTAAGCTTATGTTAAATTGGTAAAAGTTTTCACATTAATTTTTATATTCTTTTTTTTGACTATAATTTATTAAATTCAATTTTAAAAGGGACGGTGCACAGATGTATATTAGTTCCAAGAAAGAATGGTGGCCGCTTCTCTGTTCGTTTCAGTACATGTATCCTGCAGTGGTGTTTCCATTGATTTTATGTTGGGTAAATGACTGAAAATTTAAATACTTCTAAAATATCTTGTAAACTTTACATTTTTAAAAAATGTTTTAGGGAAAGCCAGATAACACATTGTCTGTTATAAATGAAACATTCCTAGAGCTTCAGGAGTTGACTACAACTGGTTTTATAGCAGGCGGAAAACTCATTAAGGTGAATTTATTATAAAGTTATAAACATAACAAAAATTATTTTATTTTATGAATTTTGTTAAGGTTAAAGTGAATTCTGTAATTTGTGATGCCCCTGCCAAGGCTGGTAGGGTGTATATATTCTTACATTGTTGAACTTTATACAATTTAGACATCTTTTTTCAATTTCATCCAAATATTTTTTATGATTTAGATAAATATACACCCTTAACTCAGGAATAAAATTGATAAGGGGGCATTGTAGTTATATTGCATGCTCATATTGTTGCGTAGAGGTAAATTTGATGTACAAAAATGCAAAAATATGAATGAATGGCTTGACATCATTCAAAATTGTAATCAAAAATTGTCTCCATTTCATCTTATTAGAAGAACTAAATCTACCTAATTTAACTGTTATTTGCCTTATTTGCAATGGTTCCCTTTATGCAGAGCAGATTTGATTGAGTAATCTGTCTTTCTATCCGTAAAATTATGAATTTTGCTACAGGGGAGTAAAAAAAAAGTGTGATTTGCGGCGCCTGGTGCAAAATTGTACCCTTTTTGTGCAACTCTCCTGCATGGTGTTTTTTCAATATTTTTTGAAAATCTGTAATTTTTTTTGGTACTCCAATGGCCCAAAAGAAAATCCGCGAACCTTTTTTTCTCTTAAAATTAAACGTTTAGAAAAGCAAAAATGTGCATATAAATTATTTCTATCGAAATCTAAATTTTTTTAAAGAATGAAGCAAAGAATCACAGAAAATTCGCAAAATTGTAAAAAGAAAATTAGCAATTTTTAGTTCTGGTCTAAGTTTTAATGAAAAGTTATTTAAATTCTCTAGTTCCTTTCTTCTTAGTATATTCTGAAGTATTAAATATACGCTGTTCAGTCGAAACCCTAAGAACCATTGAAAAATAATTTTTCCGCAAAAATAATACCAGAACTGAAAATTACGAATTTGCTAATTACAATTTTGCAAATTTTCTGAGATTCTGTGATTCAATCTTTTTAAAATTTTAGATTTCGATAGAAACAAATTATTTACACATTTTTGTTTTTCTGAACTTTTCATTTTGAAAGAAAAAAGTTTCGCGAATTTTTTTTGGGCCATTGAAGTAACAAAATTTTTAAAAAATATTAAAAAAACACCTTACAGGAGAGTTGCACAAAAAAAGATACAATATTTCACCAGGCGCCGCAAATCACACTTTTTTTGACTCGCCCTGTATATTTGTAAAAGTATGCACTTACCAATTTATCCTATTAAAGGGGAACTTGTTAACAATTCTCCATTATTGAAGAGTAACTTTGTAACAATTTACCCTACATTGGAGGGAAACTTGTCACCAATTTACCCTATTAAAGGGGAACTTGTTTACAGTTCTCACTATTGAAGGGTAACTTGTTAACAATTTACCCTTTTAGAGGGAAACTTGTTATTAATTTACTATGTTGGAGGGAATTTGTTAACAATTTACCCTATTGGAGGGGAACTTGTTAACAACTCGCCATAATTGAGACACTTCACTTCAATAATTTCAGGGTTATTTCAGTAAGCAGCATAAAAAGATGCTCACACCATATGTTAAACCTGAAGAAATGAAAAAACGAACAAACAGAAGTTTCAGGTAACACATAGATACAAATATTAACATATTATAGGTTTCATATTTTTCGTTATTTTCACAGAGCACATCTTCCTGATAAGTCGCATCTTTTTTCCTTCATTCACTCTCCTCTGGAACACATTAAAGATCTTGATATGGTAAAAGGTGATGTTTTCTATTAATATTACATTTACATAATTTACCTTTCTTTTTTTAAAAACCTACTGAAACCTGTAAAATATGCATGTTTTTAAGTCGTTCATTTTGGGGGAAAATACAAGTCAAGTTGGCTGAACTACCATCATTACCTGCAATGGATGATTCACTGAACGATGAAGGTAACATTTTGAATAATTTGATTTAATAATGCATTTGTTAAATCATGTCATATGTCCATGTTTAAAGTGTTGGCAGATCTACAAGCGGTACCTGAAACTAAATCTAAAACCCCTGCACAAAAGAAACAGAAGACAGTGAAAGTTGCAACACCAGAACTGGCTCGACTACCAGAGTTCCCTTCAATGAACGACGGAGGTACTGTTAAAACATTTACAAAAAAAATTAAACTCTTAATTTTGACACTATCACTGTGAAATTTTTCGACTTTTAATGAATAAAGGATTTTTGGTTAAAATTTTTAATTTTTTTTTATTTATAGGGTAGGGTACAGGGCGAAAAAAAAGTTTGGTCTGTGAAAAAAATCTAAAATAACCCATAACTGTTTTGTGACATATATACAGATCTAAAAACTATATTTTTAAAAATCCCTTGAAAATGCATGAAGAAACATGTGTCACACTTTATTATTTGTTAAAACAAAAAAATATTTTTTTCTCGCTTTTTTAAGCTTTTTTTCAACCTTCCCTAGAACTCAAAAAGTGAAAGTTATTGGTCTAATTTTTTGTGCTATGAGGTGGCCCTGAATATTCCTAATATGTACCTAGGTTTGGACCACTCGATCAGTTCTCTTCCTTCAGGCGTGTATATTAGTTCTGAGACTCATATTCCCCCCCCCCTTTAGAAAAATATTTTTTCCATAACCCAATAAAAGCTCATATTTTTGCCAAAATATGCAAAAAAGAAAAATATACACCCCGCCTTCTGGTTCGAGAATTACTTGGGCCAAATGAAGTCTGTCATAAAAACTGGGACTAAACCACTGGTGCAACTTGTGAACAGGTAAACAGTTGATAAATATCTTGCCACAAACTCTAATTTTCTCTTTCTAAAATTTTACTTGTTTAAAGTGCAACCTTGATTTTTTTATATGTTTACAGGATTGTTGAAAAAAAGTTGCCAGACCTTCCAATTCCTCAGGAACCACCCATCAAGAAGTCAAACATTTACCTCTACAAGAATCAACTTTTAGAGATATTGAAATCAAACAATGACGATACCTATGTCGTCCGAGTTTACCAGGTATAAAAGTATTATTGGTATTTACATTGTTTTTTATTTATTTTCATAAATTTATTCCTTTTTATTGATTTTCAACATAAAATTTAAAATGTTTTATCTTTCAATATTATCATGATTATTTTTGACAATATGCTTTAATTCTTTAGGATTTGCAAGATGCGTTCACACAGCCCTTTCCCTCACGCCTCATAGGCAAATACCAGTTTAATAGCGAAGACTACCAGGAAGACATAGTTTCACTGTCAAAGCTTAGAAATCAAGGCTTTAAAATAACAGTTAATGGTTTAAATTATTTCCATCTACTTTTACATCACAAATAAAGCGATTATTTTTCTTTCAGAAAAAATTGCTCTTGAAGTTATTTAAACTGGATGTTGATCTTGAACAAGTATAAGCTTTGCTGAAAAATACGTCAGGTATTATTTAAAATTTTCCTTGAAGCAAAGAATGATTAAGGTGAGGTTTATTTTGGGGGAAAGTATAAACCTTGTAATCAATATTGAACATTTGAATTGATAAATCTCACTGCATCTATCTATTATTCTATAGGAAAGGGAATTGAGTTTTTGCCACAAAGTCTGATTTTCTAATCCCTATAGCTGTGCAACCCAATGTTGTAAACCTTAGATATTTCAAACTATCAATTCTGTTAGATGAAAAATTCTAAGTTTGAAATATCAAAGGTTTACACCATCAAATAAGCTAAGTTTGAAATATCCAAGATGTACAATATCACGTTGCAAAGATATAGGGATTAGAAAATTTGAGTTGGTGGCAAAAACTCAATTCCATTAAAAATAAATATTATTAGTTTCAAATTTTCCTCGTGGCATAGAAAGATTGCGTTGAGATTATTTTCAAGAAAAGTTAATTAAATATAAACATTGCAAAAAGTAGAATTAATAAATCTCTAACCAGTCAATTAATCCTGGAAAAGTGGAAATAAAGCACATTTAAATATCTGATATAGTTACTGTAAACTGTTCAGATGTTTAATTGTTGGGAAGTTATTGCATGGACGGAGATTGTGCGTGGACAGAAAGATCTGTGTATAGAGGTCTTCTCCAGCACCTGGTTTGATAAGATAAACAACATATACTGGTGGCCTAAGTCAAAGGAGGTAAGAATGGAATGGAATGGAATGGAATGGAATGGAATGGAATGGAATGGAATGGAGTGGAATGGGAATATTCATATTTTGATGAAATAATACACTCATTGTTATTTAGATACACAAACTAGCTGAAAACCACACCCAGGTTCCCAAGGGTGAGAGATCACCGATTACAAATTTCAAAGTAAAACTGACAACTCAAAGTAATGTATTTTTTTTCAAAAAAATTATTTAATTAGATTCCACACAAACATATGGCTCAAAGCCTGTTTTTTAGATTTCCAGGAAGCCCTGGACTTTGTAAGTAACCCTTCAAATTGTACTTTAATGGAGGAAACCCTAACAACTGAGGACGAGGAGGATGAAAACGAAAACGAGCATGGAGATGAATTTGATGAAAATGAAGAGACTGACGAAGAAAACATTATGGAAGAGGAAAAGGAACCAGAACAGGACAGAGGAAAAAAGGAAAGGAAGGAAGGTAAGAAACCAATATTTGACCATTTTAACATCACCCCCAGAGAATTAAACCTGGAGCAGGATGGATGAATAATTTAATTTTAGATGTACGTAAGAAACCGATGATTAAGAAAGCTGCAACACTGGCTCAACTACCAGAGTTGCCGTCAATGGATGATTCACTGAACGACGCAGGTACTATTGTAATATTTATTTAAAGAAATAATAATGAAAATTTAACCTGGAGCAGGATGAATAAATAATTTAATTTTAGATGTAAGCTACATGCCACATACTTCAACCCCAGCAGGTTCTGCTAGGGGGAAACCAGGTAATTATTTAATTAATTATATAATAAAATAACATATATGAATTATTGAATGTGTTTTACTTTCAGGAAAAAGGTTATTCACTAATAATTGTGATTGTGAAAAACTGATCAAGGAGATCAATAATCTAAAGGTGGAGATCTATAATCTAAAGGTAAGGCTGGACTTGTTCCTACTTTTTGAAAATGTTCCGTTCGGTCTTGTTCCTTCCTGTTAAAGAACGATCATTCCAAGGAATAACACCCAGCCCTATTTTAAGGACTACATAGATGAGAAGAATATTCGGACTTTGAAGAAGATTGACGCTATGACAGGAAGTCAGAACGCTATGACAGGAAGTCAGAACGCACTTACAAGCGCCGTTAACAATCTGGGGGTGAATATTTTAGTTAATTATAAATCTAGGTCATAGTTCCATGGGAATCTGATTCCCCATATCTTGTTATACTGTGTAATTTTGTTAGGAATTCATCAAGAAGAAGTTTCATATCTTAAATGAGGTAAATGAGAGAGAAGTTCCAATGGAGATGCCATTTAACATGGTGAAGAATAAAGGTATAAATAAAGAAAAATCTTTTACCATGGCTTTTTTATACAAACATTTTCTATTATTTCAGATGAGTTCAAGGAACTGGAAAGTCAATTAGAAAAAGCTACAGAATTCAGGAGAATGGTAAATAAATAGAATGGAATGGAATGTAGAATGGAATGTAGAATGGAATATAGAATGGAATACAGAATGGAATGTAGAATGGAATGTAGAATGGAATGTAGAATGGTATGTAGAATGGAATATAGAATGGAATATAGAATGGAATGTAGAATGAAATATAGAATGGAATGTAGAATGGAATGTAGAATGGAATGTAGAATGGAATGTAGAATGGAATGTAGACTGGAATGTAGACTGGAATGTAGAATGGAATATAGAATGGAACATAGAATGGAATATAGAATGGAATGTAGAATGGAATGTAGAATGGAATGTAGAATGGAATGTAGAATGGAATGGAAAATGGAATGGAATAGAAAAGAGAATTTTTTGTATATGATGATATATATTGTTCCTTTCAGTAATTTCTTACTTTCTTATTTCATATACATTTACTTTCTTTGTTTTTTTTCTTTCTTTTATTTCATCTATTTCTCTTTGTACTCTTTTAATCAATTATTTTTGTTTTAGTTTTATTTCTCCACTCTACTCTTCTTAATTAATTCTATTGATTAACCATTTTAATTTTAACAAATATATATACCTAACATTTTAAATTATCTTCTTTTTATTTAGTGCAAATCCTGGCTTTGTAACAACGTGAGAGGAGATACACCTAAATCATGTGCCAAACATGCTCTTCCTATGGTGTGTATTATTAGGAATGAGAATGGGGGGGGGAAGAATTCAAGGATTTTCATGATTGAAATAATTTTGTTTATATTATTACAGATATTTTCGGAGAACATTCTACCTGAAATATCATGGACAACAGGCATGGATGTATAATTTTGGAAATTGATTTGATGATTTGGGGAAAATTTGAAAAATTAGTCATCAAGAGGCAATTTTTTCCCGATTTTTTGCCCAGAAATCATTTATTTTATTTATTTTGTGAAAATATACACTACTAAAAGCGCACCTTAGGCTATGGGCATAATAAAACTAGGAAAATCTACATCCTTAAAGACGACTTTCCTGAGATTGTGAAACTATTAAAAGGTGAGATTGTAAAAAAATTGTCAACTGTAAAAAGTTTTATATTTATATATAAAAACAATTATTTTAGATTCGATCCAATCAATGCCAAGATTCAAAGAAGAGTTCCGAAAGTCACCTAAAGATTCTACAAAATTGATTGAGATCGGAATATCCAATTATTGTCGAGGTCTGGTGGACAAGATAAACAAAGGTATATCAATACATTCATTATTCATGCATATATTTATACTTTTAAAACTTTAAATTTATGTTTAGAAAAGAAAAGAAAAGAAGAAGTAGAGGAAAGAAATCAGACAGGTGCCAAGAGAACTAGACCAGCAGAAATATCAGCAGGTGTGTCTATTTTATCAAGAATTAATCCCCCCCCCCCCTCCATTTGAAAATCAATTGGAAATGTTTGAAATGTTAAGATTATTGTTATGGCCTGTAAATATTACCATTTCAAATCATTTAATTAAAAAAAATTACACCACTTAATGTCAGGACCTGAGGCAGGCCTGCAGGATCCTGTGGATACTATAGAAGAACCTCAACCTGGGCCAAGTGGACTACAACCATCATTTAAATTTAATGTTGATAAAGGTGATTTTTTATTATTTTATTTTTTTTCTTTAACTAAACAGCACTTTAATCTTAATGTTTAGGAAAAGAAAGAAGAGAAGACAAAAAAGAGAAAGGAAATCGGATAGGTGCCAAGAGAGCAAGACCAGCAGAAATGTCAGCAGGTGTTTTTATTTTATCGGGAATCATTCCCCCNATTATCATTTCAAATCATTTAATTAAAAAGACATTACACCACTAAATGTCAGATTATGAGTCTGGTCTGCAATATCCTATGATGAATCCTATAGAAGAACCTCAACCTGGGCCAAGTGGACTAGAACCATCCTTAAACTATAGTGTTCAAGACAGAATGAATTTCAGATATCATGGTGAGTTTAGTTTTATTATTATATTATAGTTTCCCATTATTTCACTTGTTTCTAATTTCCTCTAAAAAATTATGCATTTTTAGAGTTGAAAAAGATGACGAAACCTGCAGACAGAGAACCTCGACAGCCCTTCCGTGAACTAAATTATCAGCATGGTAATTAAAAATATGCATTAAATTAGTTAGATTTAACTAAGAATAGTTGAAATATTTAAGACTTTAAAAAATGAAAATACATAATTTTCAGGAACACACTGGAGAAATGATCTAACTTACTTGTAATGCTAAGCTTTAATTAAAAATTAAGGTAATTTAACTTAAATATCTTATAGAATAGATCATGATAATGATAATGATAAAATGATAAAATGATAACTTTTGTTTCAGTTTCAAGATCCTTCAGAATCCTGCAGCTTACCATCCTGTTGCGTTGTTCCCAAACAATAGTCCCGACTTGAAGCTCCCGTTTTCCCCAAACTCAAGTCTCCGTTCAATTTCTCTGTTCATGCCAATTATTTAATTCTGTCATTATTTCATGACAATCTGTTTGTGACAAACCAGAGGCTGAATTTAAAGAATTTGAGCGGCAGCTTAAATTTAAGCTGTGGCTCAGATATGGTTGGTTTCACTTAAAGTTGTATTCAATGTTTCAAGATTTAAGCCGGTGCTCAATTGAAACAAGCTTTTGGCGGATTTTATGACACGGCTCAAATTCATTAAATTCGGACACAGTATCCTTCAATAATTATGTTTGTTCTCAAATGGGAGGGAATTTGTGTCTCACAACTAATATCCATCCTTGACATAATATGTATATATTTATACCTTGTTTTTAAGATGTACCTGGGGACTATCTACATCTGGTTCTTCTTGGCTCAACCAAAACCTTTTTAGTTCATATTCTTTCTAAAAGAGTGCAGAAGAAAAAGGGGTCTGTATTCAATCTCAGCAAATTAAGGTTTATAATTCTTTTATATATTTATTTATTATAATGAATGAAAACTTATAATCTATCACCTTTTAGTACTAAACAGAAAGAAGAAGTGGAGAGTAGGATGCTTATTATTAATACCATGCTTCCTAGTTACTTTTTCCATAGGAAGCATGATGAAATAAGGCATATAGGGAGAGGAAAAGGTACCGTATAATTATTTTCGGTAATGTTACATCGTCTATACGCAACATCCCCACTACTGAACTTCTGACCTACTAACTTTCCGACCTACTGCAATATCAGACCTACGCCAGCTGTTTATTTTTGTATTATTTGAGGGTTAGGCTAGGTTAAGACAATTTCTGGGCCGAGCGCTGCGGCTAGGACAGGCTAGGGGGCCGAGCGCTGCGGCTAGGACAGGCTAGGGGGCCGGGCACGTAGGTCGGATGTGTAGTATAGCGGATTTTGCGTAGGTCAGAAGTGGAGTATGCCGGATATGTGTAGGTCGAAAAATACACCACCTTATTTTCAATATCAATGAATACATTTTGGTTTATTTCAGGTACACAGTATCGTCTTATCGCATTCTACACTTTCTGGCACTGTTTTCAAAATATTCTGAAACAATCGTATTTTCAGCATTTTCACACATTTACGTGTGCTGTTGGTAAATATCTTAACTATTATTCAGAAATTGATAATTAAATACTACCTAAACTGTTGTTAATATTAAGCTCTTCTTCTGTCCCCGACTCAAACTGATGAGCGATTGCATACTGCAAGAGAGTTGATTCGGTGGTATGTACAGGTAACTTACTAAGATTTATCAATTTAATTGATTTAACTAATTAGTTTAATAATGAATTACAAATCAGGAGGGCCCGAAGCTTTATGGTGACGAATGGCTTAGTTACACCAACCACCAACTCCTACATTTAGTGGATGACGTTGAAAGGTATAAGAAAATATTACTTGAAAAAAGGGAAATTTGTTTAACCCTAAACAGGCTCTCCAAGCTGCTCAATTCAAAACCATGAGAAACTACGTGGGGGGTCACATGGGGGGGATGTGAATTTGATACCCAGACAAAATATGAGATGCGGCGAAAAACGAGTTGAAATCGTAACATTTAGACGAGGTTTGCTTAAGAAAGAGGTGCGCTCTTTTAATGGGCCGAGACGTAGCTCTTTAAGAAGAAAAGAACGCTCTCTGGTCTGGTCGGGCACTTCAGTTTTTTAGTATTATCCACAATTCAAAACAAAATAAAATCGATCGTACTTTATAAAATAATAATAATTTTTGAAAAAATGTTGTTTAAAAAAACAGTTTATGTAGTAAAAAACTATTTTTTTTTCTAAATTTTGTTCGCAAAATTCATTCTTCAAGTTAAAAAATTATTGTTTTTTTTCATGTTTGTCTGAAAACTAAGTTTTATCAGAAAAAAATGGTTCATTTATTTAAATCGATCATTTTTGTTTTTCATTCTTTTTAAAAAACTTATTGTTATTTAATTCTCTGAACTATCCAAGTTTTTTTTTCTTTTTCTGAACAACACCATTATTCATGAAAAATTTAGTTTGTTTTGAAAATTTTTGTTTGTTCACACAACTACTTATTTATATCCTCACTTAAAGGGAGTGTTCGCGAAAAATGAAAGGGGGTATAGGCTTAATGCGATAAAAAAGCGCTTTTGATCGCTACTAATCTTACTTTTATCTGTTGCGTCTATAAGGAGAAAATTGTTGAAGACGTCTCATACCGAAGAGCGTAGCGCCCATACAAATAGAGGAAGTTGGAACATACGACTTAGACCGTAAAAATATCAATTCAATTTCAAACAAATCATTTAGATATTACAACCTATAGTCATCGATTATCTTTCGCCACATTTATATATAGTTTATATTTTATAATATTTTATTTTTTAGAAAACGTTTTCAACGGATTTCGAAAATTGTGAGTTGTGTGCGGCATTCTTAGATAGTTGCGCAAGCGACAAGAGAAACAAACAAATTAATTTAAAAATATTATAAAATATAAACTATATACAAATGTGGCGAAAGAAAATCGATGACTATAGGTTGTAATATCTAAATGATTTGTTTAAAATTAAATTGATTTTTTACGGTCTAGGTAGTATGTTAAAATTTTCTCAATTTGTATGGCCGCTACGCTCTTCGGTATGAGACGTCTTTAACAATTTTCTCCTTATAGACGCAACAGATGGAAGTAAGATTAGTAGCGATCAAAAGCGCTTTTTTATCGCATTAAGCCTATACCCCCTTTCCTTTTTCGCGAACACTCCCTTTAAATCCCCTTGTCTCCTTCTCATTCTGAAGAGGATACAAAAGGATTTTTCAGGAAAAATTTTTGCACACAAACTTCCTGTTAATTTTGTTGAAGTGGAAAATATTTCATAACTATCAAAATATTTTTTTCAGAAAAAATGATGAACAATGAACGAACGTATTGAAAAATAATATTTTTTTTTAGATGAAATGTTAACAATTGTTGACATTTTATTGATCAGTTATTGACCACAGTTTTGAAATCGTTCATTCCCAAAACGATATAAAAGTCATTTGTGAAATTTTGTCTGAATTGTTTGTGAACAAACAAAGCAGAAAGAGTTTGTGAACCAGTGAATGGAAAATATCTGATTTCTTTTATTCATTTTATCTCTTAATTTTACTAAAGTTATGATTTTATTTACCATTATACTTACTTGAAAGATTGCTACCCTATTGGATTTGATATAAGGAAATACAGTATATGAAATTTGATAGAATTTGGCATTTTTTTATTTATTCATTATAGGAGACAAATTTAACTGGTAACTAAACAAAAGTTGATTTTTACTACAGAGTCAAATTGCTGGATTTATATGGATTTACATGTGTTTTAAATGTACTGTAAGATTATTTACATAGTTTATTACATTGGAAATGAATGAATTAAACACTACTGCTTGATTTGTTTGATTTTGCTCCAAGCTGTACTCTCATTAAATTAAGGAATCTAAGTTCAGACATTGCAATGAAGCGACACACAGGATTTTTATTTGCATCAACCTTTAATATTCAAAATTTGTTTTAATTTCATTTTCAAAATATAATTTGTTCACTCTCTCTGCAGAAAGGTCATAGAATATAAGATGAGATCATTTTAAGAAAAATTTGTTGTGGAGTAGATTGTCCAAAAACCGTTTAATTTTTAAACTTCCTTCGAAAAAAAACATTTTAGAAAAGGAAATTTTAAAATAAAATTATTCAGCTCAATTTTGAATTCCTTATATCCTACAACTCCTCGCCCCCACAGTTTGTTTTCTCCAACCACATTTTCATTGTCAGTTTCTTGCAGTGAACAAATCTCCTAAAACAATGTTTTAAATATTTAAAAAAAGTTTACTATTTGATGCACTTACCCTTATCTTTGCATTTTCTTCCTCCAGCATATTTAGTTCTTTTTCCATCTTTTGTTTTCCAAACTGTTCTAGTTTTCTCTCAAATATCTTCTTAAAATGATTATACACAAGATAATCTGAACTCAAATATTTCTCTGAAATCACAAAACTTTATTGCCTGCAAAAAGATTACAACCTAAAACAGCTGGAACCCTTCCAGTAAGAGAAAAAAAAAACAAAATGACTTTTTTCGACTACAAAATGTGCACCTTCAGTAGGTGGGTGGTGAGGATAATAAAGGTCAAAGAGTGTTATGAATGCCAGAAACAAGCTTAAAACAATTGATTTAATGAGAATCTACACCCATATTGTATACCATGCGCATAGAATAAACACAGAGTGGGGATAGGGTCTCTTTAAAAACAAATGGTATTAAGGGTAGTTGCCATTCAGATTTAGATTCAAGGGTGAGGGTGGGGTCTCTCTAGAAACAGACGGTATTTGGGGTAGTGAGGATAGTTCACCCAACTACACCAACTGCTGTCAGATTCTACTTCAAGGGTGGGAGTAGGGTCTTTCTTAAAACGGACAGGGACAGTAGTTAGGGTAGTAAGGGGTAGTTGCCATTCAGATTCAGCTACAAGGTTGGGGGCGGGGTCTCTCTAGAAACGGAAGGTAGTTGGAGTAGTTAGGGTAGTTGCCACTCAGTCTTAGCTTCAAGGGTGGGGTCTCTCTTAAAACAGACAGAAGTTGGGGTAGTTAGAGTAGTCGTAATTTAGATTCAGCTTCAAGAGTGGGGATGGGCTCTCTCTAAAACAGTGTTTAGGATCCATTTAATTTTGATGAGGATCCTGATCCGGATCCTGGATCTGCACTGGAAAAAAATGGATCTGGATCCTAATCTGGATAGTTAAGATTTACTGATTTTTTTAACAAAAAATAATTTTCAAATTTTTTGTTTTATTTTTTTCCACTTATTTTTATCCTAAAACTTGATGAACCATTCAGAAATGAGGAAATTTTTATAATCTCTCTTTTTTTTCAAAAGTTCAGATTTGGGTTTTTGGAGTAAAAAAGTTTGTTTGCAGTTTTTGGTTGATATTTTACCCCTTGGATTCAGAGTCATGGATCCGCATATTTTTGCGGATTCGGATCCAGATCCAGGAAGCCAAAATCTTGCGGATCCAATGGATCCGGATCCTAATCACTGCTTTAAAAACAGACTGTAGTTTGGGTAGTTGCCATTTAGATTCAACTTCAAGGTTGGGGGTGGGGTCTCTCTAAAAACAGACGGTAGTGGGGGTAGTAAGGGTAGTTAAACCCAACTACCCAAACTACCTTCATATTCAGCTCTAACAACAGACGGTAGTTGAGGTAGTTAAGGTAGTTGCCATTCAGAATTAGCTTCAAGGGTGGGGGTGGGGTCTCTCTAAAAACAGACGGTAGTTGGGGTATTCAGGGTAGATGCCATTCCATCCCTTCCCTCTCTTCCCCCCATGTGTCCCCATCCCATCCGACCCCATCCCTTCCCTTCCATCTCCTCCACATCTCGTCCCCATCCCCGTCCCATCCCCATCCCATCCCAATCCCATCCCAATCCCATCCCCATCCCATCCCCATCCTGTCCTATCCCATCAACAACCTTCCCATCCCATCCCATCCTTCATTTTCCTCCCTTCCCTTCCTTTCCCATCCCTTTCCATCCCATCCCATCCCAACCCAATCCAATGCAACCCATCCCATCCCATCCAATCCCATCAACATCCCTCTCTATCCCATCCCATCCCTCCCCATTCCATCTCATCCCTTCACATTCCATCCCATTCCATCCGTTCCCATCACATCCCTTACCATCCCCATCCCTCCCATTCCATCTCCATCCCATCCCCATCCCATCTCCATCCCCATCCCATCCCCATCCCATCCCCATCACAACCCATCCCATCCCTTACCATCTCCATCCCATCCCATCCAATCCCAGTATATATCAGTAATATTATTTATCAATAATATGCAGATTTTAGAATGAAAAGTTGAATTATATTAATTAGTTAATAGAATTATTAGTTAATTATACTTAAGTTGTTTCCCAACTGCTGCAAAATAATAGTATTTTTTTTCGTATAAACAAAAATGTAAATATAAAAAGCTAATTTTTTATGAATCGCTTATTTGTTCTATTAAAATTTTTTTTTTTTTAATATGATGGTGATTGCTACTAATCAAACTTCATCTGTTGCGTCTTTAATGAGTACATAGCACCTATTCAAACTCAGAAAGTTGCAATACTCAACTCAGATCGTAAAAAAATCAATTTAATTCCAAACAAATCATTCAGAAATTACATTCAGTTTATATTTAATAATATATTTGATATTTTTTATTTTATTTATGATTCAATTAAGTATCAACTTTAAATGAATGCATCGAATAAAGTTCAATGGTTATTGGTTCAATGTCTGAATTATTTTGTTTCAAAATAAATTGATTTGTTTACAATCTGAGTCCAATATTGCAACTTTCAGATTTTGTATGGACACTTTGTTCTTCAATATGGGAGTTTTTAAAAATGTTCTCCTTATAGATGCAACAGATAGAAGTAAGATTAGTAGCGATCACCATTGAATACTTTTCAACACAAGACTATACCCCCTTTAATTTTTAAGGATTATCACGTACATGATGATGCATGCAAATTAAGTCATCATGAAGTTCCTTGATTAGACCATCCTAGAAATCATTTAGAAAATGCTCCAGTAGGGTGCTTCGAAGAATCATCTGAAACTAAGGGATATGATGGAGAGGGATGGGATTGGGATGGAGAGGGATAGGATGGGACGGGGAGGGATGGTAAGGAGTGGGAAAAGAATGGATGTGTTTGAATAAGATGGGATGGGATGGGGAGGGAATGGTAGGGATGTGATGGAATAGGGACGCATAGGATGGGATTGGATGGGGAGTAGACAGATGGGAATGATTGGAATGGGGAGGGAGGAAAGAGGGGTATGGGGGAAGGGGAGGGGAGGGAGGAGAGAGGAGTATGGGGGGATGGGGAGGGATGGAATCGCAACTACCCTGAAAACCCCAACTACCTTCGATTTTTAGAGAGACCCCACCCCCACCCTAAAAGCTGAATCTGAATGGCATCTACCCTTACTAGCTCATCTACCTTCTGTTTTAAAAGAGACCCCATCCCCAACCTTGAAGCTGAATTATGACGGTAGTTGGGGTAGTTGGGTATAACTACCCTCACTTCCCCAAATTTAGAGAGACCCCACACCCACCCTTGAAGCTGAATCTAAATGGCAACTACCCTAACTACACCAACTACCATTTGTTTTTAAAGAGACCCCACGCTCAGCCATGAAGCTAAATCTGAATGGCATCTACCCTTATACTAACCCCAACTACCGTCTATTTTTAGAGAGACCCCACCCCCACCCTTGAAGCTGAATCTTTATGGAAACTAACCTCTCTATCCCAACTACCTTCTGTTTTTAAAGAGACCCCATCCCCAATCTATGCCTATGGTATAAAATATGGGTATGGATTCTCATTAAATCATTTGTTTTAAGCTTGTTTCTGGCATTCATAACACTCACCAACCTTTACTATCCTCATCGCCCACTTTCCAAAGGGTGCACATTTTGTAGTCGAAAAAAGGTTTTTTATGTTTCCAAGGGCGCCCCCCTAGAAAAAGGCCTTAGAGAATAGGTAAAGGGTTGAAATGCATGTTCATAGCGTTATATGCGTTCCAATCTTTGTTCCAAAGGATGGGATCGTTCTTGATAGTATAGGTACATATGTACTTGAGTTCAAGAGGAATCAAGTTGATGTAGATTTTCAAAAATTTCTTACACAAAAGGTGCTAATATCTCTATTTGTTACAGACTCAGTGACCTCTGCAGGGAAATATTAATTTAAATGCACACATAGCGCAGCATGATTAGAAGCTAAGGAGAGGGGGTTCCAGATAACCAAGGCAGGTAATGGAGTGGTGAGGGGTAGGGTATGATGAGGGTAGGGGGGGATATATAGACTATTACGAATCTGCTCAGCCCATTGGGCATTACTTGTATCGAACAAATCAACATACAAGACATCTAAAATCATTAGTTTCGTTTCCTAATGCTTGTCTTGCTGGTTCACTCAAGCTTGTTTTCTTTTTTTCTTGTCTTGCATTTAGCTTCATATTTAGCATATCACTGGAATAAAAAAAATGGTATATGTCCATTAAGGCTGGGCACCTTCATATTTTTTCAAGCCCTTTGTTAACAATTAGTCTTAAGATAAGAACATTCCATTTGCTAATGGTGTTTTTGTTCTTTCTCAAAGTTTCAGTTTGCTAACAATCTCAATTTTATGAACAGCAATAACTTAAAAATATTTTAGAAATTCAAAAACACCAAAACCCATTAAAACATAAAAATACAATAAAAAATATAAAAAAAATCGCTGTTATTTTTAAACACATCTAAAATCAACAGTTTTTGAACTTACAGTACGTTAACAGAACGTTAATCTGTCCTAATTTCTATATAGAATAACATTAAATATACCCATGTTTTTAAATTAACACAAAGAATATTAAAATTTTCTTTTCACATTGTGGTATAAAATATATTTAATCCTGAAATTAGAACGAGAAATAATCTTTTTCTGAAGTAAAACTGCAAGAGAAAAACATATTTTTTACTCTTTAAATGGAGGGTCACTTGAATACATCCTCTGTCCCCTTAAAATGTGCAATTGAAAAAAATATATTTTACAAATTGAGAAAAGGCTGAGACACAAAATATAGAATGGTCAACAGTATTTCTTAGAATAAAGAGTCTAAAGACGCTAAATTATTCTGGTTCTTTTAGACTAGCACCATACTTCTTTTAGACTAGCACCATACTTCTTTTAGACTAGCACCATACTTCTTTTTAGTACCTTTGCTCCCAACAGAGTTCATTTTTCATTAATATCATTGATTCTTGGAACCTGACAAAATACACTTTAAGATAAACTAACATAGATGTGTTTAACCTTAAAAATATTATGATCATTTATTTTCAATCCTAAAGGACTAGAATAAGTTTAATATTAAAGTTTTCATATTTATTTTAAACAGATTGTGGAGCCTGGCAAAAACAGCATGAATTTTACGTTTATCTATATAATAAAACATGAAATGCAATTAAAAATTCCCTATAACCGGCCAAACAGCTGGATCAAATTGGCTGACATTTTTTGAGAAAAACATTGAAATGATTCTACCTATCTGTCTTGATTTAAATAAACACTGAAGATAGAAAGGTAGAGTAGAAATTAGGGTTACAAAGTTATTTTCAAAAATTGTGAAAAATGTACTAAGTAGCTTTAAAGAAAACAAGTTACCTTTCTGCAAGGAGCACAAGATTGAAATTAGCTTCTATTTCTAATATTTTATCTAGAACAGCGGAACTACTGTTAAAGTTGTCTGGATGTAAACCAAAATCATGAAGCAGTTGGTTCTGCCCAAACGGTCTAAAGGGATTCTGAAAATTTTTTGATTTAAAGATATTGTTCAAGATTGTTCACATGATTTATAGTCACTTAATATCCTACTGTTTGAAATAATGTTGTAAACCATTGATATTTCTAACAAAATATTAAATAGTCTAACTTTTAAATATCAAAACTTTACATCATCAGGTTACAACGATAGAAATATTGGAAAATTTGGATTTGTGCCAAACTGTTACTTTGATTGAAATTTTGTGAGGAATCATTTTCTGAGTGAAAACTAGACACAGTTTTGAACATTCTGTTTCTTAAAATCATCCTTGAAAATAAAAAAAAGCATAAGGTAAGTGATATTAAATGGCAAAAAAGTCAGAAAATTTTAAAGTTAAAAATAAAAAAAATGGGTAATATTCAGGGGTTTGAGGTGCAATATGGGTAATATTCTGGGATTTGAGGAGCTATGTTCCAGAATTCCGGAATGTTCCAGAAAAATTCAGATTTTTATTCAGTAAACCAGAAAAATTTCTGGGTTTCATTCCATAGACTAGAAAAATTTCATTTTTCATTCTGTAAACCGGAAAAATTTCCAGGTTCCATAACACAAACTGGAAAATGTCCAGGTTCTCTTCCATAAGCTGGAAAAACTTCCAGGTTTACAACCTGAAAACCAGAATTGGTTTATGATTTTGTTAAGTAAACTCAAAATTTCTTGTTCTCATAGACATAGACTCTATCAAATAGATTGTCAAGTACAATAGATGGCAACAGAAAATTCGACCAACTGCACACAACTCCACAAGTGTCAATTGTAAGAAGAAAGACAACATGTTCTATAATTAGTTGATATGATTTCCAAGATTCAGTGTAAATAAATGTCTTCTTTGTAGGAATACATTAAAAAATATTTAAAACTCAAAATTAAATACATTATATTTACTGTCGTTTGGGGGACTGATTCTTTTTTTTTCTTTGCATGTCTATGTAAACATATAGTCTGTAGGGAGGTGGCGTCCAGGTGCCAACTGTTTAAGGAAGAAGCATTAAAGTATATGTTTCTAAGGAAGTAGTATTAAAATAAATGTTTCTAAGGAAGTAGCATTAAAGTAAATGTTTCTAGGTATATTATAGGTTTACTGTTCAATTTCTAAATCCAGTTAATTTTTTGAAAATTCAGACGTCTAATTTTTTTAAAAACAGACCCTCCTCTGCTCATATCATATACAAATTTTTCAAAAAATCAGTTTGATTTCCCAGTCTTAAAAGTAACAAATTTTTGGTGGGTTAAATAATGACTTCAGTATACACATTATATCATCATACACAATAACAAAAACAAAAATACAATAATAAAAATACAAAAAATATCTTTAATAATTTAATAAAAAATAAACCTTTTGGCTTCAAATTTCTTATCATGTAATGACCACGTTTATGCACTACTACATTTAGGTGCTTTATTCTGTGGAAAGACAGGATTTTCACTAAAAGGTTAATAATGTCTCTGGGAATACATGGACTTTATTAGTCTCGTCAATTTTAAAGAATTAAGCCTCACTTTCTTCTTCTTTTTGTACTTTACATCTGGATTTCCCAGGGTGCATGGACAGCATCCAGGCACTAAACAAGTTCTTTGCATACCACCCCCCCTTAAATGAAAAAATAAAATCAATAAAAACCAAAAAATTTAATTTAATTCATAATGATGTAATGTTGGCTAAGTACTTTTCCATAGTATACCCTTAAAACAAATATACAAACAAATCACACAGATTTGGAAATTCAAATATAATGTAAACCCACCCAGGATGTATAACTGTATCCTATAGTTCATTCAACCCAAGCCAAGTCTTATCATGAGTTGAGGACTGGACAAACAAATAATAATGATTTAACCCGTTACTTTGCATTTGTTACCACCGGGGGGACAGAATTTTCCACGGAACCGAGATTTGAACCCTTGTGACCCTTAGCTGGAGAGCATGGATAATGATGCTTTCATCGGCAGAGAAAGCAAACTGAACGTCCATTTTGTGCCCCGGAAGAGGGTCAGTCTTGATGAAGTATCAGAGGAGAGCGGTCGATAACATCTCCAGTAGCTCCAGGAGGAGAATTATCTCCATTTATGATTCCAGGATTAACTTCGGTTGATCCTCAGTTTGTATTTTAATAATAATGAAAAATAAATGTCTGTGCAAAGTTAGTGGTTTAATGGATTCAATCTGGCTTGTTATATTGAGTTTCTCTTTGTAAAGTTATCTGTATTGAGTTCTTTAAACGTGAGTTTCTCTTCAAGTTTATGATAATATACAAGTTGTCCCACAAAACATTTTGCAACTACTTAAAAAATGTACGAAATTTGTCAATTTTAGTTTATGTCTGAAAAAATAAAAATAATATGTAAAATATATAAATTTGAAAAATACAGGAAATCTATTTTTCGGCTCATATACTTCATACTTAAAGAAGTAATTGTAATAAAAACAGAATGCCTTGATTGTGAAAATTTAAAAATGATTGTTGCCTCAGTACCCATTATACCTACTAAAATTTAGGTTTGGACAACCTGTATTTTGACTGTATTTTCCCCATATCTGGGGGGTTTATCCTCTATTAGACCTCTCCAGAGCAATACCCTGAATATATCATTAAACATTTCTGAAATATATTTTACTGTTATACTTTCCAATTACAATGTTAAAGGGCTATGAACAAAATCAGTTTCGATCCTGTTATTTTGTCAATAGAACGTTAAATGATGAAGTGTAAACAAATAAAAAAAGAATATATGAAATTACACTGATTTCACTAAAAGATTAGCACTTCAGTCTTACATTATCACTTTTATTTATAGTTTTTTCAGACACTGAATTTGAGTTGACACTTATGACGTAAATACAGCTGTACTGAATGTATGCATTCTGTGTTGCCATCTATTGTACTTGACAGCCCATTTGAACTGTATGTTTACCAATAGGTTTCCATTCAGCAGTGTAGTCCATGGAAACACCTACCTCACCCTTAAGCTTTAACCATTTCAATGTTAGACATAGAAAGCAATGTTAAAACATTAAAAGTTAAAACTGATTAGTTGACATATATTATATATGCATTTAGTTCTATAATTATATATTCACAAATATTTTACTATAGTTCATCATGACTATTTTACAGTTACAGTTTTCACTTTCCCCACATTTTAATTTGACAAATTAGTTTTTTTTTTTTTCAGAGGCTCATCGGATAGCCTACCCTGCATCCTCTCCCCTCTCCGGATTTGATCAGGATCCCAGGAAACACAACTGGATGATACAAATAGTTTCTAACTAAACTCTACTTTAAAACTCCACTTAAGCTCGACTTTATCTCCACTTTTGAATTCCAGTCACCAACTGGATGAAATCTATGTGAAAAAAAACTCAACTTAGACTCAACTTTTTGAATCCCAGTTTTTACCAAGTCACTAACTGGCTGAAATCTGGGTGCATAAACTCGACTCAAACTCGACTTTTTGAATCCCAGTTTATGTGTCAACTGAAAAAATTACATTTGTAAGTGAGAATTTAATAATATTTGATGATTTTTCAAAATAAATAAACGTAAGAACTATTATGCAACTATTTTGGAAAATACAACGTTTCAAAATTTCTTTTATTCTGGAGTAAATCGATAATTTCATTAGAATAATGTCAGTAAATTCTTGAGTTTTTGATAAATAGAAGTCCCACTTATACAGTCTTGTAACAGGTTTAACAGTAAGTTAATACAGTATAACTTAAATTGAATTTGTAATGGTTAAAGATGTGTACTGTGTTAATTTAGATTATTACAGATGGAGTGAAGAAGGATACTGGATTGGATCGGTGATATCTGAATGATATGTGGGTGATATCATCTGGATAATATGTAGATGATATCATCTAGATATCATCAAGATATCACCCACATATCATCCAGATATCACCCACACATCATCCAAATATCACCCAAATACCATCCATATGATATGTAGATGATATCATCTAGATATCACTCACATATCATCCAGATAACCCCCACATATTATCCTTTTATCACCCACATATCATCCAGATATCATCTATATATTACAAATCTCATCCAAATATCACCCACATATCATTCAAATATCATCCGTGTATCACCCACATATGGTCCAAATATCACACGGTATTTTTTACAACCCCACAACTTGATGAAAAGTCGAGTTTTAACCCAGATATGGCACACCTATTGCAGAAAAAAAACTCCTCTTTGAAATTTGATTATAACTCCACTTCTCATTATCCAGATATTACCCAAATATTATCCAGAAATCATCCAGAAATCATCCAGAAATCATCCAGAAATCATCCAAAAATCATCCAGAAATCGTCCAGATATCATCCAGTCGACATCAATTTTTACAACCCCCCAACTTGGTGAAAAGTTGAGTTTTCATCCAGATATGGCACGACTTTTGCAGGAGAAAACTCCATTAAAATTCTAGAAGGCAAAAGTCAAGTTTTACTCAATTTTTACTCGAATTTTTGTTTGCTGGGATGGGATGAAATGAACCAATATAAATAAGAGTTGATAAACACTAGATGAAATGAACCATATAAATAAGTGTTAATAAACACTAGATGAAATGAACCATATAAATAAGTGTTAATAAACACTAGATGAAATGAACCATATAAATAAGTGTTAATAAACACTAGGTGAATTTCAACATTTTCTCCCGCACAAATATTTAAACCAGTTTTTAACCTTCCCATGGGCCATGTAAGTTGCCTCACAAATTTTAGGCTTGGTCGGTTCAGCTGTTTTGGCATTTATTGGATACAAATGGACAAACAAGTATAACTTTAACTACAGCTAAACCAGGAGCACATTCTATTATTAAGTAGATAATAGTACTTACTGGTTTTATCTTTTACATAAGTTTAAGATGTCTTTAACGTTTTTCCGAAACGATTTTTCCATAAACTGGAATTTTCGATAACAATATTCTGAGACGTTCTGTAATTCTGGAGCAACGTTCTGGAAATTACCGGTTTACGAAAAAAATTGTTTTGGAAATCATTCCGGAATTACGGATTTTCTGAACCTTTTCCATAATGGCAACGGAAAAAATGTCTGGATCATTGCCGTACTAAACCATAACTTAGAATTCCAGTGGAAACCCTAATTCTGACTCTCATTCTAATTAAATGAGCAAAACTTAAAAAAATGGAAACATTCCCAGCCCAATGGACCAGAGTAATTTCTTCAACTGTCAAGAAAACATTCAAACTAGTTTTTCTTCTTACCTTTGATAGCAATCCTGTTTTTGGTGACAGAGCAAATGTTTCTAAATCCATCTTATAGAAGCCTGACATTTGTTCATAACCCCAGGCTGATTCAAATGTAGAAACAGGATCCCTTGATCATCAGTGCAATTAGAAATTTATGAAGAAAGGAGCATATATTCTGATGAAAGAGTAAAATTTTAAAAACTGTTTTTAATGGTGACCCAGGGCTAAGGATGGGCACTTTCAGGTCTTTTCAGAACATATTCCAAAATTTTTGAAAAGTATAAAAACGATTATTTTACAGAATTTCAAATTGATCATTTTAAAAAAACTGTCGTTTGAGAAATTCAAAAACGGTCCTTTATAAAAAAACGTTTTCTGATTCAAAATGAAAAACAATAATTTTTTCATTTTCTTTTTGAAAAAGAAAAACTATCTTTTTCCATAAAAATATTATTTTTGTTTTCCGTTTCTAAACAAAAAACTATAATGATGAACTTTTTACCAGACACTTCAACCATCTCATCCCAAGAGATGATTTTCCATGATTTTGAAAATAAACAACTAACAGAATATTTAACCCCCCCCCCTGACAATTCAGTCTTCCAACTTACACTATAAATGATGGAATATCTTTGTTATTATGCAAACAAAAGATACATGTCAAATTGTAAATTACAATAAACTATAAACTTTGATACATTAAAGTTTAAAATATTAAAGGTTTGAACTTTGCATCAGGTTGCAAGCATATTGGGATATGAAAATTTGAGTTTTTGGTTGAGAATCAATTCTTTTGCAACATTTAAATAATGCAAATTTACAAACAATATACCACCATGCATGTTGTAATAAGAAAAATATGTGGTTATCAATGTTCTTATATTCATGTATGTCTTATAGTTCAAGATTTTTGATCATGGAACTTGAGAGGTATATTCAGAACAGTTTAATGGTGACCAATAGCGAATAAATCATCCAGAGGTCACATAAATATAAATGTTCTCTGGAATAGATATTCAATTGGTTACACCAGTTTAAAAACTTTCAAAGTGATCATTTAGAGAAAATTTGTTGTCCAGTTAATGGACACTCAAAAGAAAAATAATCATTTGAAAATAAAAAAATTATCCACATCCCTACTCAGTGCTGAGAAATAGTTGAAAGTGGAGGTTCATTGCTCCCCCACTCTTTATTTTCTTGCGCCAAGTTCCTTATCATAGTTAAATATTTGACTCCTGCTCTTCCCCCTAGAGTTCTCTCAACCTCGGCCTCACATCAAATCATTTATTCAACAATTTTTTAAATAAAAAGGTTATATAAAGCCCGCAATTAAAAAATGACTGCATTGTCATTGAGATGTAAACAGTGGAGTCAGTGGAGATGTAAAAACTGTGGCAATGATTGTAGGATATCTTTGAAATTCATGATAAGAAAGAATACAGAATGCTCAGTAGCTTCCCAGCAAGAAAAAATACCAAGAAAGTAGGATAAAACGGAACTTGGAATCTCCAAAAAAAGAGGTTTTACAATACAATAAAGTGATGAGATTGAGGTGACTGAACAGAGTAATTTGAGGTGCACCATTACTACACATCACTTAGATCATCTTTGGTACATTGAGTATAATTTAATCATAATAATTAAAATTCCCTTAGTATTGCAATTGGTTTTAAAAATACTAAATTGCCAGGAATAGGGCCATTCAACCTGGTCGTAATGAGCTATAAGCCAGGCGCACTAAAATGCACACGTATTGTAAAGCGTGGAGCAGGAGATGAAATTTAGTACTCCTCCATTTGATATACCATATGATTTCTTATTTGATCATTTTCGCATGCACTAAATAGTTTTCTTGGCAGATAAAATGATGGGTGAGGCTTGAATCTAATTTGATCCACTCTTCCACCTTAAAGAAAAATACACCTTTTTGTAGCACCGATGCTAAACCCCATTGGAGTCAATTGAAATAGATGTTGGGTAATCCTTTTAAAATGTGTTGTTATAATTAACATTTACAATATCAAGTGAATGTATTTAATTGAAATGTATTTATCAAGTATAAACATATAAATCACTTTTGTGATCTACTGGATCTATCCTTGTGTTATAACTTTGAGCATGGGACTATTACAAATATAACAGTATTGTTAGTGAATTACACATGATCAAACACAAATATCTAATTCCAGGAAATATAATTCCTCAGGAATTCCTTTCTTGGTGTATGCCGCAAGAGAAGGAAATGAGGAGGTTTCTCCATTTTCAATGGATAAAAGTGGAAAGCAGAGTGGATTTTCTTGCTGGGTTGGTAATCCTGCTTTGCCTGGAAACTAAAGTTTCTCTGAAAGTCAACTTACTTAGCTTATAATATTAAAACCAAGCTAAGAACATTCCCGTGGTTTTACCAAGTTACCCAATCAAAATTTGAGGCTAATTTGTCCATGAGTTTCTGAGATATGATTGGAGATCCAATCAAACAGACAGACAAACAGATATCACTACTTTCATTAGATAAATGATTCCCTGGTTCCAGACAGTGTGAAGGCAAAACATATGATATTCTAGTCCGGCTTTCTCCCAAGCTGTGTCATTTATCATAGCCCTGTACAATGTACAACAAATTAATTCAGTTTTAGTAATTTGACTAAATACAGTCATTGCCGCATATATCAATACACTGAAAACAGCTTTTAATTTTAATTTTAGATCTTTACCAAGCTTTTAAATATAATGTATACCCATATAACATAGAAAACAAAGACAAACTGTCAAATAGCAGCTTCTCTGTTTACTTGTAAACTTGTAACTTGAGGCTAGCTTTTGAGTAAGCAAAAATGAAGTAGAAAGGTCGTCTTCATCGTATTGATAAGCCAATCACTGTATAAGCACTACAGAGTGGTATTTTGATAGCCATATACACTTTACAGTCTACACTAAAATTAGTAAAGAACAAACTAATTATGTTTTAGTAATATATACTTTCCAAGTTCTGTCTGTTGTTTGAAATATAGTATTGTAATAAAACAACAATATTCAACAAAAAAATGTTATTTCATTTCAAACTCATATTTTGAACTATTCTCACCAAAAACTTTAGACCATAATATCACAATGGGCATCATTAATTTCATTATGCTAAATTTGTATTCTGATAGAAACGTTTTTTAAAAATCATAAGATAAACTGGTTAGAAAAATTGTTTTGGATACAATTTTGCAGAAAGTATGATAAAAATAAATTAAAAGAAAATCAAGCTTTGTTAAGTGATATACATTTTAGAACTTCAATAATGTCCCAGTAAGATTTATTCCAACAGGTTGCAAAGTTAAAGTGATTGTAAGCTTTTTTCAAAAACTAAGTGCTTTTGTTATAGACTTTTAAAAATAACTGTAATCTACTAATGTAGTTTTTGAAAAATGATGTATTCTGAATATAAAATTCAGCTGTATTTTATCAGATGGACATCTTACTCAAACTAATTTTTGATACCTTTATTCTAGATAACTTTGAACACCTCACTTGTAACAATTGTTATTACCTAGAAAATGGTTTTGACAAACCCAGGTAGTTTCCATCTGGGGGTAGAGATGGGTGCGTTCAGCTTTTTTTCATTTTGTTCGGTCACTGTTCGTCTCAAAACTTTCGTTCATTTTCCATCTATTTTGTTTATTTCTCAGTGAAAGAATTGTCAGTTAAATCGCTTGTACAGTAAAATACTTAGTTCAGTAATATCGTTTGTTCTATAAAATCGTTATTTAGGTTAAAAAATGATATTTTTTTTTGAAACGTTTGTGGAAAAGAATTGTTCAGTAATAACGAAAATTTTTGACAACAATTTATGGAAAATTTGTTTGTTCAGTAAAAACTATTGTTTTTTCAAACTTTTTTGAATGATTCCAAATTTTCCTTTTTATTGATTTTTTTCATTGGTTTTCAAAATTAACTATTGTTCGTTTATCATTGTTTGTGCATTGAAATTTTTTCTTAAATAAGATACCCATCTCTTCCTAACCTGAGGGTAATACTACATTCAGATCATTCTTCAAAGCATATCTTAATATGATATTCTGTACTGAGCTACTCGCACACTAACAAATAAAAAGCTGATTATCAGAATCTTAAATTCAAAATTGATTTAACTCATTGAAATTTTTATCATCAAGGTTGTTTATTACTTTGTAAATTTATTCACTTTTTTATTAAAAAAACAGCTGTTTTTTACCCTATGAATAAGAAATTGATTGTACAGGAAATTTGCAGTTGATGACATTTATCAACATACACACGAATTTCAAATTTAGGATAAAGAATTGAAAATAATCATATGAAATGGGTTGTTACCGAACGATGAAGAATAATTCAAGAAAAGTATAAGTTACCCATTTAGAATTTCATTTATTTTATTTATCATATTTTTTTAAGGGACCTTCCATGCAAAGATGGCAATGCCTGAATCAAAATGATACCCTTTTAAAATTTGACTGGTCGTTGAGGCCCAGAGAACTCAGTGTTTTTATCTTTTTTAATCCTAATCCTGCTAAATTACTTAAAAGTATTGGTTTGAGTCTATTGAAATTCTCTGACTTTTCCTAAAAACTTTTTTTAAAATCTAAATGTTTATTTTGTAGAATTATAACATAAAACATTATTGGTTTAAAAATAAGTGTATATACTAAATATACATGTTTATAAGGATATTTTAGATTTATATATTTTCACTGTCTATTAAACAAAGATCAGTTCTCGAATGTGCATGAACCAAATCACATCCTTTTGTGCTGGAATCTTTTGAGACAAAGCAGGCATAGAAATCCCCCACTTTTGCTCTTGTTCTTTTTAGGCCAAGATTACACATGTCAGAAGTACAATATCCAAACATACTGTAGGAACTGGAGGAGGGTGCTAGGTTAGATTCAGTGGTAGATTTGTTGGATCCATGAAAGATGAGGTTGGACTTTGGGGAGGGATCTGATCCATTCAACTGGGGGATTAGAGATTCCCTCGGGAAGCTCACATCACAGGATGGGAAAGTTTCTGTGTAAGAAGCACTAGATAGTACTCCTCGAATTAGGGAACCTGCAATAATAGGGTCTCCTACAACGGAAGGACCTTCACCAGGGGCTCCATATGTAGATGAACCTGCACCAGGGGCTCCAACTGTAGAGAAACCATCAGGGGCTCCATATGTAGAGGAACTTGCACCAGGGGCTCCAACTGTAGAGAAACCATCACCAGGGGCTCCTGCTGTAGAGTAACCATCACCAGGGGCACCTACTGTAAAGGAACCATCACCAGGGGCTCCTACTGTAGAGAAACCATCACCAGGGGCTCCATATGTAGAGGAACCTGCACCAGGGGCTCCTACTGTAGGTAAACCATCACCAGGGGCTCCATATGTAGAGTAACCTGCACCAGGGGCTCCTACTGTTGAGGAACCATCACCAGGGGCTTCTACTGTAGAGGAACCATCACAAATTTCATTCAGAGAAAAATTTCATAATTTCAGGAGTTTGTCTCGTCAGGAGTTTGTCTCGTCAGGAGTTTGTCTTTCAGGAGTTTGTCTTTCCGGAGTTTGTCTTTCCGGAGTTTGTCTTTCAGGAGTTTGTCTTTCAGGAGTTTGTCACGGCACCGGTCTCAGAGCTCTGGATCCTGGAAGATTTCCTCTATGGGCTCCTAATCCAGTAGAACCCGTTCTAGGGGTTCCTGTGCTATCAGAAACTGCTTTAAGTGTTCCTCTTTGACCTGCACCTGTTCTTTTGGGTCCTAACTGGCTGAAACCTTTACTGCTGGTTCTTTCTTTGGATAGAACCATTCTAGGGCCTTCGGCTGTACTGGAACCTGTTCCAAGGTCAGGAACTGCTGAAGAAATTGCTCCGGGGGTTCCATTTACAGGCCTCCGGATTTCTTTTCTTCTCTTTATCCTTCTCCTTAGGTTTCAAATCTGAGTTTGTGTTTTTTGTTTCTTCTGGTTTCATCCTGATGACAGAGAATCCCCGGACAAGGATAGAGGAGAATTCCTGAGTGTGAAAAACTCCTGACCTCCCCTATACCACAGGTTTAGTGAAACATCTAGGCCTGATAGAGAAAACTGATGATACAAGTCTAGGATCCTTCGTCTGAGTTCCATAGTAACTATAAGTTGTAATTCAACTGATTCAGCTGACAGATTGTACTGCAGCCGGTATATGTATACATGTTGACAGGATTAAGGGTGGGGTGGAACTGAATAAAGGTGGGGTGGAACTGAACTAATAACTAAAAACTCATAGCCCCTCCCTTTAAGTCTAAAACAGGGCTAATATATTAACTGCCTGAGTCTTAGACACACTGCCTGAATGACTACTTTTTCCTGTAAAAAACTAAATTTATGTTTTGACCCACTTTAAGTTGTCAGATTTTGATAATTTTTATCTTTTTGGAAAGCCGATGACATAAGCAAACGGACTGCATAAATTTTCTAAAGATATTTTGCAAGTTATTTGTATACAACCCCTTAAAAGATGCAAACAACCCATTAAAAGAAATATGCATCTTTTTAGTTTTACTTAATTACACATCATGTTGTTTAAAATTTGGCAAATATTTTTGCATATTTGAAATGGCATGGTCAACAGCTTTTCCAAAATGTAAGTCTTATAATATTTTGAACATTTTTTTGCTAACATATTTACTATATAACTGGATTTTTATTTCTATTTGCCTATCTAACAGTAGAGCATCATACCTTACAGATGATGTATCATTTGTCATATTTGATAATCAAACATGGGATTTAGAGGCGTGGGGGGGGGGTGTAAAGTACCCCATCAGGGAAAGGGTTAAATAGTGTTTGAGTTTCGTAACAGTGGAGTGTATATGCTATTGTGAAGGGTGTACAGCTTGCAACTCAAGTGTTCAACAATTTTAACATCAACATCCTTGATTCGTCAAACATTTAAAAGGCGTTGTTGTGAATTAGACACACAACTATCTCCTTCTCTAGCTTACCTTATGTATTTTCAAGAACCCTACTTTGTTTACAGGCTTGCAAATTCCCTTTGTATCTTTGAAATGTAGCGTCTCTCCAATTTCAGTATGGTTTATTCTGTTTAACACTAATTTTATTCTAAATTTTACAAATGAAAAGCTGGGGGGGGGGGGGAATTAAATTATTAGCTAGAAGATTAAGCTCCAAAAATGAACACATTCAACCAAACAACAAATAAGAAGAACAGTAAGGGTTTTTAAAAAATCGGGAGAAACTTGAAAAAGGCCAAAAACAAGAAAAAAGAAAAGAAAAGAGAAACTCCTACTTGAAAAAAAGAAAGGAACAAAATTTTATTTCTTTGTTAAATTAGAGAAAAGTCTGCTGGTGTGACTTTTCTTGATATCTTTTACAAAAAATAAATAAACTTTTAAAAGTAAAAAAAAATGTTTGTCAAAAGTGATTTACTAAAAAAATTAATCTTTAATTTAGCTTTTAAAGCAATGTAACTATTTAAGGCAAAAATTGTCATGTTTAAGTATGCCATTGAAATTATTAAAATGTTCTTTATTAAAATTGGTAAAATTTGTGCTTTCCTGAAAGTAATGAGTATAAAAACGGAAAATGTTGTAAAAACAGTTAAAAGCTTTAAAGATTCATTTTGTCTCATGTTTCTTAGTTCTGAAAGAAATTTTATCCCATGAGCTCCCTAAAAACATGGAATAGAGAGATCAATTGTAAAATATACACAGGCCAATTTTACCTAATCAGTTGATTTAAAGACTAGTGGCAAAACTATTTTTCATATAATTAAATAAAATACACAAAATATTGCTAAATTTTAACTTTCTATTCCAGAGTTTTATGTGTCTAACTGTATCTAGTAAACTCTCATTGTATAGCGTTCTTTCCGCCTCCGTTCCTCAACTATAATTGTTTCATATTTCGAATGTTTAAAACATTTTTTAGATTAAGGAATTTCTTTCAAAAAACATTGTATTTAATAATTTGCCCATCTTTTAAGTTTAAAATTTTAACATTAAAACTTTAACCCAACCGAAACCCCATGACAATGTTACAGTGATTTAGGTTGCAAGCTCTCTTGCAAAAATCTATGAGAATTTTAGAAAAAGTTGGTCACAATAACTTTTTCTAGGTTAACCCAGTAATTACAATATGTTGTGCAGATGTCATTGCTAATGATAAAAAGCTTTTATAAATGCAAACGTTTGATAAAAACAACCTTCATATTCTAATCCTTAAATCTTTACAAACTAATTTAACAAATAGTAAAGCGCCACATCATCAGCTTTTAAAGGTGTATGAAAAATAAAAAGTTTATGGTGATTATTTATTTTTATAGATAGGAATTAGTCCCAGATGTTCAACTTTTTTCAAAAGGGGGGGGGCTCAGAAACCAGTGGGGCCTGAAAACCCCCTGGAAACTATAGATTTCACTAATCCAGGGGGGCTGAACCTCTTGATCTTACCTTTTGTTAATAACTAAATCAGACATTAGGTCAAATCTGTATATCTGGCATGTTATGAAACACTTGAAAATAGTTAGAATCAAATTATGTATGATTACTGAGACAATTTAACATAATTACTTGTATAGTTTTTTTAACCCATATAATGATTGGGGGAGCATTCAGGGGTGTTTTCTCCTCCCCCCTCTATCTAACTAAACCCTAAACAGGCAGGTTAGGGGCTTTTGGCCTAGCCTAGTTTTTTTGTCCTAGCACTCTCATTTTTGACACTATCACTGTGAAATTTTGTGACTTTTAATGAATTGTAATTTAAAGGATTTCTTGTTGAAATTTTTTAAGCAAATTTATAGGGAAGTGTACAGGGCCGAAAAAAGTCCAGTCTGTGAAAAAAATCTAAATTAGCCCATAACTTTTTTGTAATAAAAGCTGTTGAAAAATGCATGTAGAAATATGAGTCACACTTTGATATTTGTTTAAAACAAACAAAAATATTTTTTTCATTTTTTGAACCCTTTTTTAGGCATTTTTTTCAACCCTCCATAGCACCCAAACTTTTTAAGTTATCAGTCTATTTTTTTCTTCTTTGAGCTTGGCTATAAAAAATTGGGCTATGAACATGCATTCCAACCCTATACTTATTCTCTAAGGTCTTTTTCTAGGGGGGGGTGTTTACACTTCAAGGGTCAAACTTCTCTACTTTTTTTTATATCTTTAATTTTAATCCTTAATGCTATTAATCATTTCTTCCCAATTATACTCTACATTATTTTAAAATTCAATTCTTTTAAAAGTTACATAAAAGAAATAACCAGTTGCCTGCCTCTGCTCCTATATATAGGGCTAGGAGCGTTCCTGGTTGAACGATCATTCTTTCCTGAGAACAAATGGAGTGATCAAGAACGATCCCATCATTCCGAAAAAAACGAACACTTAGAACACGCTCTTAAAAATCTTAATAAAATTTTAAATTGTAGTAATAATTTAATTATGTTCTGCTTTATTTAAAAACATTCTCAACTTCCCCCTCCCATTATTAATCATTGTCTATTTTATTAATTGTATATCTATATAATTGTCTTGGTTGGCGTTAAAATATTCATAAAATAATTATTATACTATTATAAATATTAATAAACTTTATTAAAAGAATAAAATATGTTATTTGGCATTAACTTTTTCAACATTTGATATTTCAAAGAACAACATCTATGATAATGATAACTTTGCATTTACTATAACATTCTTGCTCAATTTTATAAATATAAAATAATTTTTTTAGGATATCCAATTCTTTGAATTTTAACCCTATTCCTGCTGGGGGGGGGGTCAATTTGACCCCCCCCTGTAGTTTTTTTTACATAATCAAAAAGTATTAAAATTGTTGAAATTTTCTGACTTTTCCTACATACCCAAAGCCCTCCCTTTAGACCTAAAACCAGGCTCTGATACTACCTGAGTCCTCAGGCACACTGCCTGAATGACTGCTTTTTCCTGTAACAGACTAAATCTTTGATTTAACCCACTTCCACTTGTCAAATTTTGATAAAATTTAGCTTTTTGGAAAGCCTTTGACATAAGAAAACGAATTGCACATGTTGTACGAAAAAAATTGCAAATTTTTTGCAAACAACCTTTCAAAGGAAATTTGCACATTTTTAGTTTTTCTTGATTAAAAATTAGGTTATTTAAAATTTTGCATTGCATATTTGAAATGGCATGGTCAAGGGGTTTTCAAAAATGAATAATTTTTCATTTTTTGGACAAATTTTTTTTTGCAAACATTTTTACCATATTACTGGATTTTGCGATAAAAAATTCAATTTTTGCAAAGGAAATGAGTTTTTGTAACAAACTCAGATTTTTTAAACCCAATATCTCTGCAACTGGATGGTGTAAAACTTTGATATTTCAAACTCAAATTATTTGTTCTACCAGAATTCATAGTTTGAAATATCTGAAGCCTACGACATTGGGTAGCAAAGTTATATCAATAAGAAAATTTTAGTTTGTGGCAAAGACTCAACTCCTTTGCAAATTTTTTTGCAGATTCTAAAAGTAAAGCACAAGAGCTTTCCAATGATGTATCATTTTTCATATTTGGACATCAAACATGGGATTTAGAGGGGGGGGGCATATCCTGGTTTTCAAGTACCCCAGCAGAGATAGGGTTAAAACATTATTATTTGACATTATTAAGTCATGAAATGTATGAAAATATGCATATTATTTACAAGTGTAAAAGTTAAATTTATAAAACCACTGAATTAATTTAATATCTACTATGACGTTTAAGAAATTTCATGTTCAATGTACTACGGTTATAAGTAGAACAGATGGAGCAGCCCCTAATTAAAAATAATAATATTAATTAGGAAAAATAATTGTCACATTATCTGATAAACAACCTTGAGTTAATTCCGTCATATCATCTGTGAAAAACAATTTTAGAAAATTCTTTTAAATTATAATTACAAAAAATAATGGAATCTAAATCTTTTTTTAGGACTTTTCAAAACTATTTATAGACAATTTTAGATTTGCTTAACACTGACTGTTTACCATCCTGTTCGGTTCCAACCTTTTCATATCGGTTCATTAACAATTACATACGACTGTTAAGAACAATTTTATCTAGAACAAAACCTGCCTTAACAGTATTTTCCTTTTTTGTTTGTTTTATAGTTAGGGGGGAGGGGGCTTTAAATTAATGATTGAGGACCAGGTTAAATATTTATAGTTGTCTCTTTCAAGCTTTCAAGCACTTTGAATATGTTTTCAAGTTATATTTATCCTCAGAAAAAAGCAAACACACTATGAGTAGCCTGACTTTGAATAATCTAGGTATTTTGACTGTCATCAATCTTTCTGAGATTTCTCAAGATGAGATTTTATTATAAGTTTTGTAAATTTATTTTTAGCTCCAGGATAAGTTTAGTTTTTTAACTCTGGCTTGAATTTGTTAAAATGCTTTGAAATGTAATTAGGTAGTTTTTAGAAGTATTTTGACACAATTTTTAGAATTTTAGAATTTTTCAAACTGTTTTTCATTAACATTTTCGATAAACACACTCCTACATGAATATGATTTTTAGCACTGTGTTTCGCGAATCGCGATACCCTCCAATATATCTCAAACTCTCATGTTCTTAAATGTGCAGCTCTGTAAAATGGTGAAAAAAAATTATTTCCTTTCTGTATATTTAATTCTTAAAAATATCCAAAATGCTTTCCGTAAGCATTTCCATATCTCATACTCTAGGAGCAGCTGTGGATATGGTGGACATATCTCATACGTTGGTAACAATGTGGACAGCATCGACATATCTCAGCTAGTTGGAGCATCCATATGGTAGGAGTATCTCCGCTACCAGAGTATCAGAGAATCAAGGTACAGCTCAGTAATGTACAGACAACATAACATAACTCTAGGAGCAGCTAGATTTAAGAGACATTGGAAGCAGCTACAGTGTCATCCAGGATTACAGTATAGGCAATATTGAACTGAAGCAGTTGAATGAGATATCGAGTTGAGGAAGCTGCCTAGTTAGATACTGAACAGGAGTTGAGGGATTGCTTGATTACGCAAGAGAATTATGAATATCCAAACATGATGTAATAAGACAGAAATAAACTTAAACAGAGGCATTACACCAATAAAATATAACTGATAAATCCTATTCATTTATACTAAGCAAAATCGTTCCGTTCCTCTTTTTTATCGTTCAGTTCTTGTTCCGTTCCGTTCTGAGTAGAAGAACAGTCTTCCCGTTCCGTTCCGTTCGTGGCGTTCTTAGTTGAAGAACAGTTACATCCCTCTTGTTCTCTTCTTAATCAAAAACGTTTCCATCCCCCATTCTGTTCTTAGTAACGAACAATTCCAAAAACAAAACAAAAAAAATCAAAAGTTTTATAGAAAAGAGTTGCGGTTAAAAAGTAAAAAATTACAATTTTAAAAAAAAAGTTTCTCACGGCCGTAAATAATGTTTTAAATTATATATTTTAAATTTAAGGTTAAAAGAATATGCTTAGATAATTTCTGGGCTGAGCAATGTATAATTTTGTGAGAGTGGGGGGAGGGGCTGGATCTTCCTTAATATGTACGATATACAGAGGTTATAAACTAAAGCCTGCTGTGTGTCTGAGTGTTGTGAGTTTAGCAGAGACTGGGGAAGGGGGGGGGGATGGTGGGTTTAAAGTGTGGGAGGGGAGTTGGGTCAGGTAATTAAATCAAAAAATCTTTAACTATTTCTAGAGAATTTAGAACACATTCCTGATTTAAAATGCGTTCCCAACTTAGGACAAGTTCTTGATAATAAGAACGAGTAAACGATTTTAACCATTCTTTTCAAGAAATTCCCATTCTGTTCCGTTCTTTTACTAATTGTTTCAATATTTTTAAGAACGCATTTTAAGTGTTCGTTTTTTTTCGGAACGATGGGATCCTTCTTGATCGTTCCGTTCGTTCTTGGGAAAGAATGACCATTCCACCAGGAACGAGCGAGCTAGAGAGGGGGGGGGGGGTCAAGAGCATTCATATATTCTTACCAAATTAATCAGTCTATGTCAATTATTGTGAATGATAAACCATTGCAAAATTGTATTCCCTTGTAAATGTACTATCATTAACTGTTGTTTCTTAAAATTTCTGATTTAAGGGACTGTAAGTGTGATAAATATTTAAAATAATGTTTTTGTTTGTTTATTTTCTTGTGTTTTTTAACATCAGTGTTAATGGTTTTTATATTGTTAGAACAGAGCAAACTCAAGCTCAGGGCCTCCTGGACCTGTCAGTGAGTTAAACAGTTCCCCATGGGCTCTTCAATAATGTGATTTTTAACAGCATTGGATTAATATAATTTTCTTTAGTTAAACATTGTAATAAATGTTTGGTGTATATATTGTGTTATAATTTAAATGTGTGAAGAAAATAGGGGTATATATTTAGTTATTTTATCAACTTTAAGATTATCATTATACCTGGGTATTCCAGGATATACGGGTATTCCAGTATATCAGGTAATTCCAGGATACCAGGATATACCACTATATAAGGTATTTCCAGGATATCAGGGTATTCCATAATATCAGGTTATTTTAGTATATCATGTAATTCCAGTATACCAGGGTATTCAAGTATATCAGGTAATTTCAGGATATCAGGGTATTTCAGGATACCAGGGTATTCCAGGTCACCAGGGTTATCCAGGATATCAGTGTATTCCAGGATATCAGGGTATTCCAGGATATCAAGGCATACAAGGATATCTGGGGATTCCAGGATACAAGTTACAGTTCCCTTCCCATCCCTCCCATCCCATCCCTTCCTTCCCATCCCATCCCTGCCTTCCCATTCCTCCCTTCCCATTCCTACCTTCTCATTAACAGAGTTCCTTTTTTCAATCATCTGATTAAACAAATATGTAAAAGATTAAGATGTGCCACCCAGGAACTCTGTAATAGCTTAAGTATAATTCACTATGGTATACATGTAGGGTTTTTAATCGTTTTTGAAAATGATCGTTAAACGATTGTTAAACGATCGTTTTTTGTGAGTTTTTCAAAAACTATTGTTTCGTTTTAGGAAAAAAACGATCGTTTTTAAAAACGACCCACTCATTTTGAACTTTTAGAAAACGAATAGCGATGGTTTTTGTAAACGATCGTTTTTGTAAAAGATTGTTTTTGTAAACGATCGTTTTTATTAAAACAATTTGCGACTGTTTTTTATACGATTGTTTTTAAAAAATGATCGTTTTTGAAAAAAACTTTTATTGACAATTATGTTAACGATCATTAACGAAGGGTCATCGTTAACAAAGGGTCATCGTTAACAAAGGGTTGTCGTTAACGATCTTTAACAAAACGACGAACTTTATCAAAACGGTCGTTTTTGGAAAAAAATTACATGCAACTTTATTGAATGTCGTCTTACATGAAGTTTAACAGTTGTGGGGGAGTTAAACTCCTTGATGTTTTCTTAAAAACTACTCAATGATAAGTACAGATGCCCTTCAGGTCGGTTTCCTCTCTTTGTTAATGATCGTTAATGAAGGGGTCATCGTTAACGATCGTTAGCGAAGGGTTGTCGTCAACGATCGTTAATGAAGGTCCGTCATTAATGATCATTAACAAAGGGTCGTCGTTAACGATCGTTAACGAAACGGCGAACTTTATAAAAACGATCGTTTTTAAAAACGAGCGTTTTGAAAACGATCGTTTTAAAAACGACCATTTTTAAAAAACGACCTTTTTAAAATGATCGTTTCGTTTTCGATTTTTCGTCGTCGTTTTCATAACGAAACGATCGTTTTTCTGAAAAATGAAAACGTTAACATCCCTATATACATGTAAAAACACCATGCTGTGTCTAGGATTTAGTGAAAAACAAATTTCCAACCATGTCAACAAAGTAAATTGCAGCATATGCAATAACAAATAAAATCAAACATAGCTAAACACAGGTTAAATAATAACTTTTAATTATTTTATTTTCTTAAGTAAACTGCACGCCTCTAACTTTACACTTGTAAAAAATTCATAGAGATTGGACATGGTTAGGTCAAAATACAGTTGAAAAAATTACTTTTCAACACAATATTAATGTCTTACTGTTCCTTGATGGATTAAGAACAAATTTGGTTCTTGAACCTAATCTACAATAAATCTTTGTAAATGAGAAAAAAACTATTTCATTTGAATGAAAATATTTCTTTATAGCATTTTTAGAGACTTAAAGTGTATGGATAGGGAATCCCATTTAAATAACTTTTTAGAAATTTAAAAAAAATTATTTCAAAACAATTTTAAATCAAAAGAAAGAAAATGAAAAGTTTATGTTTAAAAATAAAATAAAGTGAAAAATGGTAAAAAAGTAGTTTTCAGATTTAAAACAGAAAATATTTAACAAAATCTACTTGTTTAACTAATTTATTTAGACTTTTTTATCAGTAGATTTGAGTTCTGGATCAAATATAGTATAGTTCAGTTTCTCCATTATTGAATTGCATTGTTCTTCTACTATCCTACATAAAAAAAAGAATTATTAATAAAAGGACTTTCAACATTAAATTGATGCTCTTCCTTTCCAATATGTAAACCTTCATATTTATGTAACATTTATGTATTTTTAAGTATTTCATATTTAAGTAACATTTAAGTAGCATTTACTTGTTAGGTCTACAGTTGCCAACCTAAAATTTCTGAATTAATTTTCCAAAATATTTTCATAAATTTTTCTAAGAAATCATTTTCTCAGAATAAATTTTAAAATTAATAAATTATTATCAATTCCAACTTTCAGGAATATTTTGAGATATTCTCAGCATATTCCTATGTAGATTCCCCAACCATGCTGGACTGTTCTTAGAACCAATAGTAGTGCACATCCTAACTCAAACTTTTTAGAAGTATACCCGACAAGATGTCAACTGAATTGTCAAAAACAAATGCAAAAATTAACAAAACAATTTTAGAGATGGTTTCTGTTCCCTAAAAATCCATAGAATTGAAAAATATTTGGTAGAATATCTTAGGAATTTCTCAAAACTCTGATCCCCAAAAAATTCTCTAAGTTTTTAGGAATAACAAAAGAGAACTTGTTATTGAGAAATTCCCTGGAATTTTTTTAAAGCAAGTCATCAAAACTGGAAAACTCACTTGTACTCCCTGGGTCAACGTGTACGAAAAAATGTATACCCAAAATCTGTATAACCTAATTTCTTTCAAGTGGAGACCCATTTTCCAGGAGTCTGTTTTGAACCCGCTTCCACGAACAGTACCGTAGAAACCATTTCCAGATTTTACCCTAATTTCAAATAGTTTTTGTAACAAGTTATATTCTCTTGTTGATAAGCCACCTTAAATCCTCTTTCTAATATTTTTTTTAAGTGTGCAATCGTAAAAGATAAAACTTTTTTAAAAATTCTAGCCTCTTCAGGTCATAAATAAAAATAGAAATTTTTTGAATGGAACATATGTTCATATTTATTTTATAATGAGAAGGTAAACATGTAAGCTTTGCTATCTAACCATATTTTTGTGCCATAACATGGTCAGGAAAAAAAATAATTGTTTTTCTTCAAGAACTGGAGGCTTTATAATCATAAAAACAGTAGGATGAGGATTTCAAATTAGCTCTGACTTAAAACACACTTGTCTTAAACTTAAACTTGCTTGAGGACATATGTGAAATGATGAGAATGTGGCTTGGACAAGATATTGTTGGGCTGGTTTTCTCTCTCAGTGAACTTCTTTCAACAAAATCTACATTTCAGCAACTCTATTTCATTTCATCATATGTTGATATTGTTGATTATCAAAATGTCAAATAATAAAATGTATTTGATGTAGACAGTATATTGTTCCAAAATGTTGAATAACCCCATGTTTAACTTACAAAACATAAAATAATAAAAAAAACTGTGACTACTCAAAAACTTCTATAAGCTAAATAGGCAACTAATATTTACTTCACATGATTTCAGGGCTCAGGTAAGGTTAAGACAATATCTGAGCCAGGCTCGGATATTGGGCAAGGGGCCGAGTGCCACTGCCAGGAGACACTAGGGGGCCAAATGCTGCAGCAACATGTCCAACTTAGATGATTTGTAGCAGTCAACCTTTGTATTTAGGCATGGTTATTTTGAACAAACATTTTTATAATTGAAATAAATTATTTGCAATCAATGGAGGAACAATTTGGATCATTCAGAAAAATGCAAATATGATAATTTTCAAAAATTGTCAAAAATAACTAAATGAATGATTTTAAGTTAATTTTGATATTGATTTCTTTTGTTTTTATTGAAAGATTTTTCTGCATTCAAAATTTTTGATTAACTAAAGTTTTTTTAATCTTACAATTTTAATGAACAAGGGATTTATTTTGCAAAATAAACCATTTTACTTAGTGAATGATATAACTGAAGGAATAATTTTACTGAATATTCATTTAGTGGAAAAACGAGCAAAATAAATGAAATATGAATAAAATTTTGATTATTTCAAGAGTTTCTGTAGAAATCTATATACTATTTATGGTTGAATTGCAATTTTGGTTTATTTACTTTGCAAGAAAAACTTGTCTCTTGAGAAACACTGGGTTTTCTAAAAAGTGTATGACAAAAATGGCCTCCCAGTGTAAAAGAGTTTAAAATAATTATGAAAATTATGAAAATGTTTCAGACTTAGTCAAAGATGACCATAGGGATAATAGTTAGTGATAATAATTTCTGAAATTGCCAAAAAGTACATGACACATGCTATTGCAGAAAACTATGTTTATGCTTCCATTAAAAACAGAATAAAGAGATGCCCTGTTATGTTTATAAATACCTTGGATTTTTGTGATTTGAAACAGCTTTCTTTACCTGAACAATATATTAAAAAGCTAAAGATAAAGTTGTTTTTAAATAAGCACATAATCAGTGTGTATCAGAACCTCCCATAGGAAGGGTGTCAGCAGAGCTTTCTAAGCCTGTTGAGAGAAAGAGCGGTATGTCTCTTGTATTTGGTACTGAAGTTGATATAGGGATTTAAAAGGGAATTTAATAAAAGAATTAGTTTTGAGAAATTTCTTGGAATTTCTCTGAAGTTTCACCCCAAGAAATTACTGAGATATTCTCCAGAATGGTTCTCCGGAAATTCCTGAAAAATTCTTAGGACTTGGTCATTAAATGTATGGATTTTTAGGGAATTATAGAAGAGAATAAGTTTCAAGAAATTCCTAAGTATTTCTCAGGAATATTTCTCCGGAAATTTTTGAGAAATTTTCTGGACTTTATCACAGAATTTTCAAGTTCCATTTTTCTCCAAAAGGTGTTTCTGAGGTTCTCTTCTTGTATGTACTGCACTAACTGAATCTTTTTTTCTTTTCATCCTTATTGATAAAAAATGATAATTTACTTTAGAAACATCTTTTTTGCAAAAAATAATTTTTTTTTTCTTGACAATTCAGTTGTCCCATTAAACACACTGCATGACAACTTCAGTAAGATCAAAAACATTCTGTCTTAAAAAGATGGTTATACTTGTTAAGTTATTCACTAATATTGGGCCTAAGTCCTATGCTGAGAACATTCAAGATATCTCTGAGGAACTCTTGAGAAAATCTGTGGAATAGTTCCCAGGAAATTCCTAGGTATTGGTTCTGAGATACTTTCCGCTGGAAATTCCCAAGAATTTCCACAAATTTTGTCAACATCTTCTCTGGTTTTTCTACAGAATTGGTAACAAGAAATTCCTTGGACAGAGTTATGAGAATTTCCTCGGAATGGGTTAAAAGAAATTCCTTGGACCTGGTTCCTCAGAATGGGTTACAAGAAGTTTCTCAGAATAGCTGTGGACATTTTCTCATGATTTTTCTGTTAAATTTTTGTTGGAATTTCCCGGCTTCCCAGGAAAGATTCCTGGGTAATTCTGAGGATTTTCTGCAAAATTGTTACTTGGGTCATATATCAATAAATTTGTTGTATAAAAAATTAAAAATACATAAATTGATAAAGTTAAAAATAAGCACAGATTTTCTGATATTCACTGAACTTAAAAATAATTTGTCAAGAAAATAAAAAAAATTATATTTTTCTTTCCTGATGTTACCTTAATAATTTAAAACTATTCTTAAAAAAAAAAATAAGAAAGGAACTCTAAAACTAAAGAAATTAAAAAAAGAAAATTTTGTAATAGTGTACATTTTTTATTTTTGATTGCAATCTGTCTACTTGACCCAAAACTCTAAATACCCTGCAAGTTGATGCCATACCTTACATTCTGATACCATTCACTGGTAACATAGGCTTAAAAACATGTTTTTGTTTCTTGTTTTTTATTTCCATGGGCACTTCAGCTAGTTATATATATACCCAACAAACAAAAACCCGTGAAGAACACAAGATTATTTGGTCTATTTTACACGAGTGACCCATCAATATCCTGTGATAATTTACGTGTTGCTGAGGTGAATGTCGACGATATGATCATGGATCTAGGATCGAGTTTTTACACAAAAACCTGGGTTTATTTTTCAAGATGAACATGTGATTTTTACATTAGAAAGTTATTTTGCTCCCATCTACTTTAATTACATTTTTAAAAACGCCAGGAAAGGGGGGGGTATTTAATTGATTTCTGATATATAAATATATTATAAAATATACTGTGTGTATATAATTATTACAAAATTTTTATAAATAAAACATTTTAGTTTATATCTTTTACATTAAACATCTTGAACATGTAAACTTTAAACTTTTCTTATCAAGAAAGAGATATTTCAAGTCTAAATAATGTTCACTTATGTTAATGAGTTCATAATTATAAGAATTCTCCTTTCTGTATATATCTAAAAGATTGATATTCCAAAAGGGGGTTGTTAAGAAATACAATACAAAATTCAATGTGAATATTTTCTATACTCTGCTCATGCTTGTTAAAATCTGAAAAATTTATGTTAATTAAAATATTTCATTTTACTACAATAAACTTTTAGTTTCTAAAAGATGAGCAGAGACACCAAGTGTTGTGATTTTGCAACTCTGTTAAAATGAAACATGAAGTTTTTCCATGATATCTTAAATATTTTACGCAGGATATTTACAAGAATTAAAATCTAGATATTCTGGCGTTCCATTACTCATGATTAACACATTTGGAATATGTGAGAGCTTATTCTTTTGCAAAGAAATTAACATGACAATTGCAGGAATAGGAAAGAGAAATTTGGATTCCTAGAAGTGTGTTACAAGACAGGTTCATAGTCTTTCCCCAAATTTACCAATTCCTGAGAATTTCCGGGAAAAATTTCCAAGAAATATTTTGATATTTTCTTAACATATCCTGAAAAAATTCACTAATCAAGTCAATTATTGGACAAAATAGAAATGAACACATTAACAATTATTTATACTGCCAATCCTAAAATTTTATTTTTTTTTCAAAAATAATTTTTACAGGTGGAATTAAAGTTCATCATCATTTTTTATCAATAAGGATGTAATGAAAAAAAGATTTTGTTAAAACTGTGTTAGAGCACCTCAGATGCACCTGTTGGAATTTCTCAAACCAAAGTCTCCAATTCAGTTCACTCAAAAAAATTTTTAATTGCTGACCAAATTCTGAAAATTTTTCATGAATTTCCAGAGAAATTCTCTAAAACTTCTAATTTAGTTCCCAAAAAAAACCATACAATCTTTGACAAAGTCCTTAAAAATTTTTTAGAAAAAATTCCAGAGAAATTATTAGTAATATCTTAAAACTAATTCTTAAGAATAATATCCCAAAAATCTCTGACATTAGGATCCAGTTTTGAAGAATTTCTTGAGAATTTCCAGGAAATCACAAAAACCTGTTCTCAAGAAAATCCAAGAGTTACCAAACTCACTTTTCTTATCTGGGCTATGATTAATATAATTTTATGTCTATATTTAATGACTATGTTTAAAATATATTCTTCTAAGTATTTGCGTACAGATGGAACTTTTTTTAAAAAATAGAATATGATCATAAAAAATGCCTGATCAGAGTAAGGTAGTTCTAGAAATTTGTAAATCTGTTCCAAATTGGTTTCAGTATTTTCAACTAAGTCTTCGTACCTAAAGAAAATCAGAATTTGTTATATAAAATACATTAAGATTAATAACAACAAAGTTGAAGTGCATCTAATTATTTTATGATATCTTGCTTTACAGTATACTTGGGACTGAAGAGATAAAAAAAATTATTTTAAGAGTTTTTGTTACAATCATTTTCTCCCTTAAAGAATATTATTTTGATACAGGCTTTGTTTACTCTTTCAAATTGCCCTTATTTTTAAATCAATCATATATATCTATATATAAAATTAGCTTGTGTGGGTGGGTGTTTGTTTGTTTGTTTATGCCCAACAAATGTCAAAACAGCTGAACTGATCGGGCCCAAATTTTGTGTAGGACATCACATGACTCCTGAGAAGGTTTATGAATGATCCAAATTAAAAAAATTGTGTTCAAAAGTTTTTAATTTTTTTTTTAATTTTTATAATCTTAAAAATCCACCAATTGTCTTTTCTTTGTTTTATGATGTTTACAATGAGAACATATTTCAAATTGAAAATTAAGATTGGCGCGAAGCGCACTAAAAGCCTAGTACATTATAATCATACAGGAAAAGTGTATTTACATACTTTTTGTTAGAGATACAGATAAAAATTGAGTAAATCATGTTTGAATTTAGAATTTTGAGTCCACCATTGATATACCATACCGAATTCTTATATATCTTGAGCCCAAACCATCTTCGAGACTAACATCATCCTAAAAATTGTATTTATAATTTCAATATTTTTTTTCATTGTTCAAATACTTCACTTAGATCAACAGCAGTGTCAAAATTTGGATTAAAAAAAGATTCTCGAAAGAAACAATTGGTATACTAAGTTTGTTTAATTGTTTATTAATTTAGTATGCTATAGTCAATGAGTATGGGTTCACACCCTTTGCTAATGGTGGATGTCAAAGTCTACTACAGTCAAAAAGAATGGGTTCACACCCTTTGCTAATGGTAGATGTCAAAATCTACTTCAGTCAATAAGAATGGGTTCACACCCTTTGCTAACGGTAGATGTCAAAGTCTACTACAATCAACGAGTATGGGTTCACACCCTTTGCTTATGGTAAATGTCAAAGTCTACTACATTCAACAAAAATAGGTTCACACCCTTTGCTTAAGTTAGATGTCAAAGTCTACTACAGTCAATGAGAATACATTGTTACTTTTGCTGAAGTAATATGTATTTATAAGTTCAATGAATGCATTCCTAAAAAATGTTTTGATTGTTTGAGTGCTGACTAATTGTCTACTTCAATCTATATATAAATTTGGCTTGTCTGTCTGTCTGTCTGTTTGTTAGTTTGTATCCTATAAACGTCAAAACGGCTGAACCAATCGGGCTCAAATTTTTTGTGGGACATAAAGGGACCCCAGGGAAGGTTATGAATGATCAAAATTTCAAATATTTGTCTCCATCAAAATTCGATCTTCATTAAATTTTTGAAAATTTTGAAAATCCATGAAATTTTTTTTGTGAAAATCAGCGAATTATTTATGTTTTGTTTTACAATGTACACAAAGAGAACATGTTCACAATTAAATTAGAAGATGGGCGCGAAGCGCCCTCTAAGGCTAGTGAATGTATATTTAGTTGATATTTCAATATGCATACTTTGTTTCAACAAAAACTATCAAACAAAATTTTCAAACATTATATTTTCAATTGGCTCAAAATAAATTTTCTTTTGTGTCTTATTTTTAGTTGAACCATCATACATTGTTATTTTGTATTTTGTGTTTGAAAATAAATGCTAAATACTAAAAACTAATAATGAATGTGAATTTAAAAATGAAGTATATTTCAAAATATGTTTCATATAAAGATCCTTAATAAATGAATTAATACATAATAAGATCGAAAACATTGGTTTTTCCTAGTTTAAGCTTGAATCAGTAAGGAATGTAAATAAGAAAATAGATTCTTGAGAATAGTTCTGAAACAAGTACTGTGTCATCAAATTCCAATGCCATTAAACCACTGATTAATTGTAAGAAAAACGGAGAATCATGAAATAAATCCCCAAATAAACCTGAATTGTATTGCATAGCTGTGAAACATTCTTCCAAGCCTGCTTAAAATCACTTGAACGGGAGTTCATTGATTTTATCATACCTCTAGGATCCCGCACAAGATGGACAACCTGCAGATCATAGTTAACATATAAAAGCAGAATCGAAAATTTTATTCAGTTTCTTCAACAAAATCTGTGAATTAGAAACATTTCTTAATAGGTTATACTAAAGGTAATCCTTAGCAACATTTCTGATTAAAAGTTAAAAGATTACAACTTTAATTTACCTTGTATTAATATTTAAGTGAAAGTGTCAATGTAAAGATGGAAATGTCCCATTCACAAAAGGACTTTATTACAACCTTAATTGATTATGTGGAAGATATTTTCGTTTTTTATGCTTAAAATTGATTAGTTTGTTCTTCTGCCATATAAATTCAAAAGTTACTTTTGTAGAGAAACTACAATAATCAGTTTTCATTGTTCTAATCTTTGCATTTGTGTCATTTGAAATTAAACTTATATGATACCTTAATATTTGAAGAGTAAATCCAAGGCTCTAATCCAGCCTTGTGAAGTCGGATTGATTTAATCACCAAAAAATTATTCTTTTATTCATGGATTGCGTTTTGATTTTTTGATATTTTAAGTTTTATGGAAATTGTTTGAAAATACAGATATACCAAATTTAGTTTATGTAGCCTGTCTTAGACTTTTGTTAAAACAATATATTTTGGAGCACTACCAGATAGGTAGCTGACAAAAGTCTCTAAAGAACAAGGTTAACTTTGACCTGCCTGAGGTGGGGCACTCATATAAAAAATACTTTAAAATTTCACATTTGCCCTTAACTAAAAAAGTTTAACTTTAATCAATACTGCCTTCAGTCTAAATATATATTTGATAACATTATTTTCTATACAATATGTATTGTTCCTATTAAAATATAAATATTTTTTAAGAAACGTTTCTATCTCTATTTATCACCCCTTGTAGCTTATACTACAGTATTAAGAGGGAGTTTCTGATGAGTCCAATTAAAATAATTACATATATAATTTATTAACACTTGTAGTATGAAAGTTTTTATATGTTCTGTACATAGTTAAAAAAGGTATTGATATCTTATCAAAAATACTTTTTTGAAAAGCCCTTGAAAATCGATGTATTAACATCTTTATGTTTGTCAATAACAACCATTGTTTTAGATTTTTGTTGTAATCAGCAGGTCTTGAAAAATTAGAATATCAATGTTAAGGCCCCCAGCCTGTATTTGCTTAGTTTCAAAGAAAATCAAAAAAGTATTGATCATGATTAACATCTAAAATTGGATAATTAGTAATCCATCATTTCCTTGCTCAGAAGTGCAAGTAAAACTTAAAAAATTAGTGGCCTTAGAACCTAAAACATTCACAATATTGAATCTAACTTTTCTGAGACTTTAGTTCAACTTTAACCCGCTTGAGGACAGGTTAATACTAAAACAGTGTAAAGATTTACAAAATGTCAAAGCTAGATGGAAAATTTTGTGATCAAAATATTTAATATATCTTAAGATGAATAATTTTTAACCTTTGTTTCAGCATTTGCACAGTCAACATCAGGGGTACGAATTCCGTAATATCCATTTCTAGGTTTAATTAAAATTTTGCAAATTGATTTTACAAATGATTTTTACAAAAAAAAATATTTCTGGAAAAAAAATTCTTTGTAAATAATGTATAAGAATTAACATTAAAATAGGATTGTGTTCATTTTTATTTCAATTTGTAATAAGTAATTTGTAATTTGTAAGTGTTCAATTGGGTTCTTTGTCATAGTTACCTAATCAACTTTTCTTTAGGTCAATTCAATTCATTCAAGAGAATAAAATATTTTAATACTTTTCTGTCTTACCTAGGGGTGGGCACTTTAAGCAGTTTATAAATATAATTAGTTAAATAATGTTGTGTTGGTTAACAGTTTATTTTTCATTCTGCCTTAAATTTACTGCTTTGTAAAGTTATCAATTGTCTCAAGGATGTTAATGGAAGATATTTTAGAAATCGTTAAGGGCCCTAGCTGTGATTAAGTTTTTGAAGATTATTTCATGTAAAAATATCATAAAGTTTCTCAAATTTTGCATTTTCTCTAAATCACATTTGTTTTTTTTTATTTTCTGTTTAATATTCACATGAATGGTTATTTTTAGTTGCAGAATCTTCCGTTAATTTCTAAATTCTTGAGGTTCACTATCAAAATGTTGTGCAGGCCTAGTCATACCTTAACTAACTTACTTAGTATGTAATACACTGAATCCCATTCTATGTGTAAGTTTATTGTTTTTCACAGAAGAATTTTGGTAATTGCAATTCTGTTTACCTATTACAAATTACTCTACAGCAAATACTTTAGTAGTTGAACTTAATTTAGAAAATAATGTTTTTTACCCTTTTAGTCTTTTCTGCAGAGAAGGAGTGCAATTAAATATTCCACTAACATAGTCCTGTACCTGGAACTAATGGTCAAATAAGATTTCTTCTAATATTTAATTGTCCATAACAAGAGCTTGGAAAAGATAAAATTAAATTTGAGTTGGAACACTTTGGGGACATACATAGATATCAACCTCATAACTATGTGATACCCTGTAACCTTTCAATTAGGAGTGTTTGGTTTTCTGGAATACGATAGACTTGAATTAATAATTGATAAGTTAATTTATATTTGATCATATTTGTAAGAATAAGTTAGGTTTTTATTACCATTTTTAAGTCTGGCGATATTGACATTTTTGGAAATGATACTCTTGAAGAAGGTCAATAATGAGATATTATTATAACAATTCTGCACTAAAAAAGAGATACAAGTTTATTTGTTTCATTTGTTTACAAAATACAAAGAATGTGTGCAAAAATTGTAGTTTGTCCTTGTAATACAAAATTTTTGTTAGCTTGGCTCAGAAACTACTATTCAGAGTTGTTTTAGCTGAAACATCAAATTTAACAACACCCCCAAATGAGGTAAAAATAAATGGTGGCACTTTTAAATGTCTGTCCTGAAATGGTTGTGTGGGATCATATTTTCCTTTAAAGTATCTGTCAAATCAGGACTGAAACCTGAATGTCTTCCCTTGGTCTAAAATTAGGATTTTTTACATTTTAAACTCAGGTTGACTCCTTTAATAGTGTAAAATTAAATTTATCTCTGAGCATAAACTTTATGTTTTTTAAGGGTTAACCCTCACTGTGTAGAATAAAAAAACTAATTTTTGAACACATCTTTTCTTTTTATTTTTTCTACATACCAGAAAATTTAAATTATATTATCTTCAAATGTAACATTATTATAGTATAGTACTTAATTCAGAAAAATCTTAATGTAACAAGAAAAACTTGAAGAAAAAATTGTAAACCTTTTGAACTGCAAAATAAACTGTTGTTATTCAAATGTAGCAAATCATCTCCAATTATAAGTACTTACATTTACATTATTTTCTCAATTAAGGATTCCAAAATTCATTAACAATTATTCTTTAATGTCAGGGTGTGGCAGCTAATTTTATTTTTGTCAAGGTTGTTGAAACTTAAGATGCCAGAGCTTGCAATTTAATACTTTGGCTTGAGCCGGAATTCCTTAAACACGACTTTATGACCCAATCTTAGACACATCTCTGACAACAGCTTGTGTCATGTGATTGACAGCTGCAAAATCTTTGACTCATCTTGAGGAGTTAGGCTAAAAAGCTCAAGGATCGGAGATTGTCCTGGAGATTCAAGAAACACTGAAAAATGTATTTTTTCTCCAAAGAGGACATAGTTCTCAAAGTTAAAATCCCTATGGGGAAAACAAGAGTTTAAAAAAGGATAGAAAATTATCCTTAAATATCCAAGACCTGAAGATTCAAGAAATAAGGAAATAGTTCCTTGAGTAAAAGTTCCCATGGGGAAAACAAGATTTTAACAAGGATAGAAAATGACTCATCTTTCAGAGTTTTCTGGTTATCACTGTACTTAAATTACAAATTGTCAAAATATATTATTTATTTAAAATTTAAGTTTAAAATCAAATTCTGCACACTTCTGGTGAGGTTGAGTTTAGCCTCAGGTTAGGTTGAGAATAATTTTAGGGTTACCATCACAGGATTAAACTTATGTCACATATATTATAGATATGATGGTTTTGCTTGAACCTTACACTCAAATGTAAAAATTCAAGAAAGAAAATAAGGAAGAACAAGAAATTTAGAAATGTCAAAATATTTGCATCTGTTTTTATATAGGTATTGAATAATATTGTTAAAATTAAAAGGAAAATATAAAAAATGAATGTTTGGTCAAAAAAGTCAGGAAGAGAAATAGGGAAGAAAAGGACTCTTTGTAACCAGAAATTTATCACAGATCAAAAATTGCTTACTGCAGAAAGAAAGTGATAATTTGTCAGTGATTTTTAATCATCGGAACAAAAATGCTAATAGTCACTATTAAAACAATTGTCTAATTGGTGGCATAAGGGAAACATTGTCAATTATTTTGCCAAGTTATAGACTTTTAATCCATTAATTAGACACTAAAATCTGTACGTTCTCTGACTTTTAGTACTTAATTAAGGTACTGATGGTTTAACAGTATGGACAGAAGAATTTAATTTAAATGATAACAAGAATAAAGCATGGACGTAATATGTGTTACCTCTTGCAGCCCATCTAGTTTAACTATCTTGAATGGTTCAAAATAGTACATAGTATTTGAAAGTGCACTAAGAAGGTCGCCTGTGAATGAAGAACCAGACCTGAATTTAATATTAAATAACAGAAAAGATAGCTATTTTGTCACAGGGTCAATTATTTATTAATAATTTACCGTGCATAAGAAAGTAAAAGTATGTTCTTATTCCTCCCTGTGAGCTCCGTTTCTTGTTTGATGGGAACGTTTTGGAAAACATTCCCTTTAAGCATTTCCATGATGGGAGTATAATTTACATTGAATTCTGCTAAACAAGAAATACATAATTTACAGAAATTGATCCTATTGTTTTTATTAATGAACTAGTACCTTCAATTATGTTAATGGATATATGTAGAGTAATCAGTGTCAGAGTAATGAGAGTCATGTAGAAAATGCATCTAAATAATCATTAATCAGAGACACAAACCGTTATTTATGTATGCAACTGTCTTGTGTTGTCATGGCGGGATTTTTACTTTTTTAGTCAAATGTTTAAATTTAAGATTTTTAATTCTTGAATTAGAATCTTAAACATACAAAAAAGTAAAAATCACAACATAAAACATAATTTATTAAGTCATAAACCAAGACAGTGGGGTATATAAAATTTTATTAAATTTAAGTTTATCAAACATGTGTGATTTTTTATCTTAATCTGCAATAAAAAGAGGAAAACTGCTTTGCTGGTTTAAATTGATAGTTATTTTACTCGGAACAAGTAAGAAACTTTTTATACCAAGATCTCAAAATTGGGAGTAAAAATGAAATTAAAATGTAAATAAAAATTCTCACAAGTAAAAAACTTCATGCATTGCAATTACCTTTTAGGATTATCTCTCATATTTTCAAAAGATTTATATCTGAAAAAGTTTACTTTAACATTAATGATTA